CCCTGCAGAATTGCAGCCTTGTGTCACTGACAGTTTTTCTAGAAAATACAAACTAAGATCATTGTTTCCTGGGTGGACATTCAAGATCTGGAGAGAGCTTTTGTAATCTTCACCCTGTTTTATGTATCTATATTGGACTAGCCATGTGCTGACCCTAATAGATTATGCCTCTCAGTGCCCTCATTAGGTGGAAAAATCATTATTGTTCTGATTTGTTGAGGAATAGAGAAGATTGACTTTGACTTCAACTGTGCACAGGTCAGGCTAGAACCTGCACTTTCTGAATTTCAGTAAAATAGACCTAAGTTTTGCAAGTGGCAGCCCATGTTCTAGGAAAAACAGGTTCAGCCCGTGACCTGTGTGTGACTTCATACTTATGCACAAGGTTGCAGCAAATGCTTGCAAAGCTGGCATCCTTTATTGCATATGCAATTGGTATCATAGGAATCTGTCCATCGGTGTAATATCTATGGGAAAAAATACGTCGTATTCCTCTTACTGGTTTACACATACTGAAGCTGAAAAGGCTGAAAATAAGGGATTTAGTCTTTTATATATTGCTTTGGAAGAGAAAAGAATGAGTTAATTCTCGCTACACAGGTATCCATGGTGAACCATTGAGAGTGAATACAGCCATTGCTGGCAGATACTGCTTTTCCTGAGAAAATGGCAGCAACCAGTACTGAAGAGTAACATAAATCAATGAACCTTCTGAAGTCACCTTCATATCCTGTGAATGAAAAATCTGTTTCCCAGAGCAGGACTAGGGATCTGTCAACATATCAAAGACACAGAAGTAAGGTGAAAGGAGACAAGTCACACAGTGAACCTGACAGTTAATCTGGCAAGGATCCTGGACAGGGATAGCCAGCTCTTCAACGCCTCTTTGGCTAAATTGACATTTTACTACCTTTGCAGATGATAGGTAGATGTTGATTTTTTTCTAGCAAGACCAGTGTTCCTAACTGTAATTCTTACAGTCAGCATGAGTTTCCCATGAAGCTGTATGTTCTCACATCAGAGCATATTGGGTATTTTCTCTAAATAAGGCTGTGCAGTAAAGCAAGAGATGATACTCTGAGACAATGACTGCAGAGCTGAAGAAGCCAGAATGATGCCACAATTTAGGGAAGCCATGTCAGGGCAAGCAACTGGGGTTACTCAGAGAGAGCATACAAAAGCTGGGAAAGGCAAAGAAAACCCCTTATCATTGAGCTGTGATAACATGTCTGTGCTTTGGTAATGCAAGCTGCAGATTTCAGCTGAGAACCATTGTATAGACAAATGAACTCTTCCCTGCTTCCTATTTGTTGCTTGTTTGTTTGCGAGTGACTTATTTTAATTTAACATGACAACAAGATTACCTAAATAAAAGGTTTCTATCTCTGCAAATGCACAGATGAGTTGGAATCCTCTCAGAAGGATTTCTTTTAAAATGGAAGTAGAAAATACCACCTAATACTAATTCCTATGTAAGCACATTATTACTCCCATTTCCAAATAGCAGCTGCATTCAGCTCAGTACAAAGCACTGTGCATAAATTCAGTTAAAGAGTTAAGAGAATTAAAACATACATAACATTAGGCATGCTGCTTGACGTAAGTAGTAAATAGTAATGTCCATTTTTGCAGTATATGTACTAGAAAATTCTCACTTCATAAGTGAATTTCAAAGTTTATGTAGATTCATTGGTTTGTGAAAGGATTAAATTTTATTCAGTGTTTCAGCCTCTACCCATTTTAATTTAAGACTCATAGGATATATATTTTAAATGCCAAATGACATCATTAAGTTGCACATCTTAAAACGCAGGCCACAGAATGGCGACTGGACAGCCCATAAGCTTGTTTGGTAAAATATCAGATCCTGAATGTGCATTTAAGTCAGTATGCACTTACAAAAAATACATATGCACACGTATCGTGCAGAAGAAAAGATACAGTTCATATTACTTTTTGTCTGCTATTGAGAAATGTGTTGCAAATACAGTCTTTCATATCCTGTAATGTACGTCTCACCTCTGAAGCACAAAATGTGGATTTAAGAAGCTCTCCCTTGAAAGCGTGAGATGAGGTAGGGGAGATAATTCATCTCCCAGCAGCTAGCTTCAGCATCTCAGCCCTTTCTGGTTTCAGTGTATAGCCCTGACTTAATGAAATTTAAAACATAAAATGAGACCCTGTTGTGCTTTCATGTTAATTCGTTTTAGTAATTCTATAAATGTTTTGGATGCTAAGACTACAAAATTTCATTGCTTCTGGTTAGATCACACCTTCAAAGGTAGGATCCTCAATCTCTACAATGTATGACATTGCACTGATTGTCAAGAGTAGAGAGAGATGTCTGTCAAGTTAGGTTAGTGGTTAGGGGTGGTGAAGCTGCTGTGCCTGGAGCTGGAGTAGCTGCGCTGACTGTTGCTTTGCCCTCAGATCCACCGACATTCTTTTCCTTTTGAAGGTGCTGGATAGTGTTGCACAAGGCCCTGTAAGCATAGGCCAAGCCCCAGCACGTTGCCGTGATTTGTCCATCTCTGGTATGGCCAGAATGACCACACACCTCATTGAAGTGTTTTACTAATTCTTCTAGATTTTGCAGTTGTTCGGTGGTGAAATTCCAAAGTACTGGAGGGGCCCACTGACCTAGATACTTGCCCATACTATCCCACACACCCTGCCACTCATGGCTGTCCAGCCTCTGGGAAAATCTCTTGGTCCTCCTACATCGTCATTTGACCCCAGACAAGACCCAAACCTGACTCTGCTTAACTCTTGAAATCAGTCGTGGGCAAAACACACTCTGTATGCGTGCTAGCATGGTGATTCCCATCACGATCAGCAAACAAGTCTCAACAGCATTAAAAGGCCATTCAAAAACTTCAAAACTCTCAAATGTAAATGGTCTGGGGGGAGGACTGGGAGGGTAAAAGAATGACTCCTTCACAGGTTGAGCACCTGAGGAGGAGAAAAAAGATGTGTAATTGCTAAGCACTTCTATTATATACCTCCCAAAGTATAAAGGTGGTGACCACACTGGGAACATAAGCCAGAACAGTTTCATGATCAATGATTCTATTGTATTACAAGTCATTACCATAAAGTACAATGAGACAAAAACCTTAGCCCAAGCCCCACACTTGAAAAACACTAATACAGCAAATACCAGATGGACGTAAGATACGATATACTGAAACTGTGAGATCAAGAGGAACAACCTTGAGAGCCAATAAATCAGCATTGTGACGAGTGACTATTAATCCGGTCAGATCTGTCGTTATCTCAACCCCTTGTGCCCCATGTTGGGCGCCAAAAGAACTGTCATGGTTTAAACCCTAGCCAGACAGCTTGTTCACTCACTCCCAGTGAGTGGTGCCAGGCTGAAAGCAATCGAGGCCCCCCCCCGGGGCTCTCTCCTTCCCCGCTCCCGAAGGAATGGGGAGGAGGATCAAAAGAGTGCAACTCCCACAGGTTGAGACAAGAACAGTCCAGCAACCAATGTACAACACAAATCACCACCGCTACCACCACCACCAACAACGATAAGAGAAAATAACAAGGGAAGGGAATACAATACCACTGGCCAAGAAACGAGTCCCACCTGGAAGCCCGCGTCCTTCTGGGTAACTCCCGGTTACCCCCCACTCCGGGCATGACGTGCTGTGGTATGGAATACCTCCTTGGCTAGCCCGGGTCAGGCGCCCCATCTCTGCTTCCTCCTGGCTTCCCCTCCTCCCTGGCAGAGCATGAGCCTCACAAAGTCCTTGGTCAGGGTAAACATCACTTAGCAACAACCGAAAACATCGGTATCACCAGCACTGTTCCCAGGCTGGAAGTCAAAACACAGCACTGCACCAGCTACCACGAAGGAGAAACATGACTGCTACAGCTGAACCCAGGACACTATGTTAAAAAGAGAATGTGTCAAGCCTTTAACTTCACTGGATGTTCTGGGGAGTTAGACCTAGATTGCTTAGGATCTTTAGGAGTAATAGTATACTAAAGCAGTTGACCTTACTCCTACCAAGACATGGCTAATGCCTTCTTGACTAGTCTGAATATTTGTGGAGCTCATATCTAACAATCTTTGGGAATATATGTGTTTGGATAGGAATGCTTTAGTGTACATGGGAAAATTTGGTTACAGCAGTTATGCATTACCTGTGCATTTGTATGTATGTGCAAATAACCATAGAGAAGGAAAAAAAAACTGACAAATTTGTGGGTGAACTCTTCAGGATCAAGATCATTAAACTGCTTGCTTTGCAAAGAGTAGCGAGATATTTATTTTTTTTCTTCTGACTGTAATTCCCTTTCTCACAAGACAAAGGCAGAAAAATTTGGAATTTGAAGTAAAGGCTATATCCACATCTCTAACACATGTGTTTGAACAGTGCAGATCAAAGAGCAGATCAGCTGCTTGCATGATCAACTGATTTACAATTACAGTTACAATCCATTTTACAGGCACTCGGGAATTCAGGCAACATACGAGATTGCATGGAATCAAGAAAAAGAAAGCTCTTTCTGTCTTACAGATGTACTCTACACCCAAGCAGCTGAGATAATAAATCTTAATTAACTAATAAACTTTCAAAAGGACCTGAAATAATCAAGCAGAGATTATTTAGCAGGGCCTGACCTATCTCTTCTTAATAGCCAGAACATGGCACACAAAAACGTTCCAGCTTTTTCCCCAGATGTTAGAAAGGTAAGTAATGAGCATACTTGTACTTCTGTTAATGAGAAAAGCACAATTCAGAATCATAAAATAATGTTTACAATAGAAAAGAGAAAGGGGGGGGGGAAGGTTTAGCATTAGCTTTATTCATTCCTGCCTTTCTACTCTGCTGGTGCCCTCAACATAAGAAGGACATGGAACTGTTGGAACAAGTCCAGAGGAGGGCCACGAGGATGATCAGGGGACTGCTGGAGCACCTCCCGTATGAAGACAGGCTGAGGAAGTTGGGGCTGCTTAGCCTGGAGAATAGAAGGCTACAAGGAGTTTTCTCTTCCACCATTTTACATACAGGACTGGACACAAACTGGAACCATTACCTGAGCACCTAGGGGTCTCTGGACAGATGCTGCAGCCATTTTCCCCCACCCATTTCCAGCTATTTGCAAAACCCAGCTTCAATCCTTGTTGCATTACCCTTTCCACTTCTCAAGCCACCAAATGCTTTCTTCTAGTAGCCTTTTCCTAGCCAAGAGAAAAGGGTATATACAACCAAACCCCCACCGTATATTGCAATAAGAGTTGCCCACCAAGGTGTGGGGGAAAGGCCCCACTGCAAACAAGTAAACTTTGTGACTAGCCCTTACAGTGCTGAAGGAAGGGCTGCTTTGGTGCATAGAAATAAATTAGCTGCCTTCAAACCCAGGAGCTTCACTGCATGTGTCCAGGGCTGTCTGTATCAATGCGGGGAATCAACAAATGGTTACCGGTGCCACAACCAGGGGTTTGGCTACTTCGACCATGGAACTCACTTTGAGAAACATGCTCTACTGGGGGCTGATGGGGTCCACCTTTGGAGAAAGGGAAGAGTGTCTTCAGCCACAGGCTTGCCAGGCTGCTGGAAGTGGCTTTCAACTAAAGTTGCTGGGGGAAGGGAACCTCACTTCATCTCACTCCTACCAGTCTGATTCTGGTGCCAATAGGAGATGCCTAGAGCCTGGAGAGGGATCACAGGTCAGCAAAGGAGCACCTGAAGAGCAGTACAAAGGAATACCCGTCACTCCAGCCAGTAAGTAAGCCAGCTTCATCAGGGGCCCAACTGAAATGCCTCTAAGGCAATGGGCATAGCATGGGGAAAAGCAAGAGGAGTTAGGGAGGTGGACCAATGCCAACCTCGTGAAGTTCAACATGGCCAAGTGCAAGGTCCTACGCCTGGATCGGGGCAATCCCAGGCACAGCTACAGGTTGGGCAGAAAATGGACCGAGAGCAGCCCTGTAGAGAAGGACTTGGGGCTGTTGGTTGATGAGAAGCTCAACGTGAGCCAGCTTCAGTGTGCGCTCGCAGCCCAGAAAGCCAACCGTATCCAGGGCTGTATCAAAAGAAGCGTGACCAGCAGGTCGAAGGAGGTGATCCTGCCCCTCTCCTCTGCTCTTGTGAGACTCCACCTGTAGTGCTGTGTTCAGATCTGGGGACCCCAACACAGAGGGGCATGGACCTGCTTGAGTGACTCCAGAGGAGACCATGAAGATGATCAGAGGGCTGGAGCACCTCTCCTAAGGAGACAGGCTGAGGGAGTTGGCCTTGTTCAGCCTGGAGAAGACAAGGCTCCAAGAAGAACCTAGGGCAGCCTTCCAGTACTAAGGGGGCCAAAAAGAAAATTGAAGAGGAACTTTTACGAGGGCACGTAGTGACGGGACAAGGGGGAATGGCTTTAAACTGAGAGAGGGGAGATTCAGATTAGACATTAGGAGGGTGGTGTGGCACTGGCACAGGCTGCTCAGAACAGTTGTGGGTGCCCCATCCCTGGCAGTGTTCAAGGTCAGGCTGGACAGGGGTTTGAGGAACCTCACCTACTAGAAGGTGCCCCTGCCCACGGCAGAGGGGTTGGAACCGGGTGATCTTAAGGTCCTTTCCAACCCTAAGTGTTCTATGATTCTATAGCCAGTCAAGTCCTATCCTTCACTGAAGAAACATCAATAATTCACATGCCAAGGCAACGGCATGATCTGAAATTTCCTTCTCAGGACTGCCCCTGACCTCTCTACTCCAGGAAGAAAGAGTCAGCTGCCATGCAGTCACTCTATGTGGCAAGCCTGCCCTACCCTAATGAGCCTTCTCGTGTCACATGGTCCTTTGACTCAGAATATCCAAAAGCAAATACCTGAGACATTTGATCTTCCCCTTGTCCCCACACTAAAAGGCTGACATTACGATTCCTGTGAAAATTTATAGCCAATGCACCTCAAAGACCTTTGGACTACAGTATCTTACAGCTCGTTGCTACTCTGAAGTGTTAAAAATTAATCCTCATCTTTAACACACATCTGCAACATACAAAGCAACTAAGTCCTTTACAAAGTCAAAGGGAGCTGTCAGCCAAAGCTCAGCAGCGTAAATATTCTTTAAGAGGCTCCACACCACTCCTAACATCACCTCTCAAATTCTGCCCCTCTCAGAGATACAGATTTGAAGTCTCCTGCAGAACCTTTTGCCTGTTCTGTCCTTGCAATCACTCCGTTTCTCATCGATCCCAAATATCCAACAAATGTGAAGGAAATCAGTGCAAAACTTACTGAGGTTGGCTAAGGTTAGCTGGAGATAGTGGAAAACTGCCCAGGAATTACAAACGAAAATATTTTTAAGAAATTACCCAACCATACCTGGCTATTTTTTTTCAAATCTTCTGATACGTCTTTGTTTTCTTTGATTTGTGGAACATCAGTAACCTTTTTTGTAAGCTCATCTATCCTTTCTTCACATTGTTCTTTTAATTCTTTCATCTGGTTGATGCATTGTGACCTGGAGAAAACAAAAAGGTAAGCAGCTGTCAACTGTCATCCACACTCTTCTAAAATGTCAAAATATTCTTTTCTAAAATGATCTTTTTTATTATTATTTTATTACTTTTTTTTAGTCCTACTAGCTGTGCTTATATTTGAGAAGTCAGAAGTAAGAAATGGGATGTTAATCTAAGTCCTAGGGACAAACATGTTGTGAAGATGGTGAAGTTCCTTCCACTGAAAGAAATTTATTTAAACTGCTTTTGTTAGACCAGCTCAACAAGCTACATGAATTTTCTTGTCTTCCACTAACCTGTCAATTTCAACAAGTCAGGATCAATTTTCATCCTTGAAGCATTTCTAGGCAACAGAAATGAGTATTTGGAGTTTAGCTAGGAAGGGGAAACAGCAAGGTACTGGCCGAAATAAAACATTGATGTAAGCCACTGCTAGCAAAGACAACACCCTTTCTCAGTATTTCACTGAAGTGCAGTGCTGGAAGACTTAACAGAGCATACATTACAGAAACGGAGTTAACCAGTAGTTCCAAAAGCATTTCCTAAAGATGCAAGTATCCTATATCTTTTACATACTTTCAGTAGTTACACAATGCCATTAGTGCCTTAACCTGTGTGACACCAGAGGTCTTGTGTTTGCAGCTCTGCAGTCTGCCTGCCCCCCACAGCTCCATAACCTCCAGGTAAGCCCTAGGCTGTTGCAGAAGGGTTTTTCCTGAATCTGCCAGGGCAGTGTTTTCCCCTTTGTGCCTGTGCAAACCCCAGGTCAAGCTGGGTTTTTCAGAGTAAATGGCTGCCATTAGGAAAAAAAAATCACCTCTTCTCCCCCACTCTCTTCATAACCTGTTTGGAACTTTCTGTTTATATTAGCAGAAGAACAAAACCCAGTGGATAACAAAGCAGGTAAGCATTACACCATAACAGACATGCAGAAGGCTGAGAAACCAGTCCTCACAGGACCCCAAGTATGCTTTTGATCCCATTGTGAACAGTAACAAGCAATAGTGTGTTTGAGTGGGGATGAAAAGTGTATCACGCTAGGACAAAACGTGGTGAAAAACCTTTTCTGTCAGCACCCACTGCTCTGGAAAGCATGCCCAAGGAAGAGGCTTGGCTGGAGACCATGCTGTTTCACTAACAGTGGCAGAGGAGTTTGTTGTGGTTTTTTAAACTTCTTTTCCTTTCTCTCATTTTTTTCCCCTCTGAGATAACTTTGAGTTCTATGTATACCATCAGTTACAGACTCTGCAAATACATCGTTCTGCATGCAAAACCTTTCTTGGCATCCCTTGTGCAACAGTATGGTCAATATACTGCAAATTTTACCTCCCCTTCCCTAAGAGAGAACGGAGATGAGTATCTTCTGAGGCTAGTTCTGGCAGTGTTAGTACCTCTATTGTGGCAGCAGTTGGTCCAGATGCGCATATTCCATTTCTCACGTTGCAAGTAAGCTACTGCCTAATCCAAAGGAATTCTCAGGCCATGCGCCCTCTACAACAGCAAGTCATTCTTACTGCACTTTCATCCTTCTCCACCCTGCTTTTTAACAGCAAACTACCTGTTCTGTAGCTCACATCCAACAAGGAAGGAGACTGGCAGATAGGCACGCTATGAACTGGCAAATTAATTACCTTTATTGCCTCCTCTTTTTGACTAGACATTACTCTAAAGTCTTATTTTGATAATGCTAATACATGAAGGAGTCACCAGAGTAAGTAGTCCTTCCTAAGCCAGTGAACATCAGAGACAATAAAACAACACAGGCTGGACTTAAGCACACGTTCACTAATTTCTAGGAAATAAAAGAGCATCAGAATACCTGCACCTCAGTCTGCAAGCTTGAGAAAGCTGCCGTATACAGACAACCTGAAGCTGGAGATAGTGCAACCTCTCGCAAATGCCTTTTCATCCCACAACACACATGAAAATAAAGTTCATTTAACGTCTGTGGCAAATCCTCACCCTTTTAAATTTATTATCTGTGAAGGCTTGTAAAAGGGGTTTCTGGAGACTGGAATGCTCTACCCATGCATACAACAACTTCTGAAGCACAAGAACAGCACTAGTTTCTCCAATTCATCCTACCAATATGACGCAGTTCAAATTGCAAACCCAGCACTTTAAATTCAGACTCTTTAACATGTTTTCTTCTCTAGAGTTAATTTCTGTGATAAACAGCTCACCTGTGCACACACGAAGGAGATAAGTCAATACCCTGCCCCCACCCCCGCCCAGCTGCTCTCAGGCCCATCACAGCAACCATCAGCCCAACCGAGGCCCACTTCCGAGAGCCCAAAAGAGCACAGAGGCATAAGGGCAGTGGGGAGCCTAAGATACAGACTCAGACATCCTGTCCAGACCATCCCACAGGCCCAGGGCTGACTCCAGTCAGCCTCAGCCCTTGTGCCAGTGTGAAACCCACCAAGATGAGTCAACAGGACCAAGGCATGTCCTGCCCAGGGTAGGGGACACAGAATGGGTGCAAGGGCAGAACATGTCAGGATCACACAAGACATATTATGGGACCATAAGCAGCGGAAGTGATGGATCTCTGACAGGAACAAACACGCAAAAAGAGAGAGAAGGCGATAAACATGAACTGCACGTAAACACATTGCTGGTCGGTGTGCTTGGCTGGCCTTGCCCTGCACCTGATCAGGACAGGCTGTGCCACTTTTTATTAAATGCCTTTTTAATTCTTCCCTGTTTAGTGTGTGTGCGAATGTATGAAGGCACGAGGGCAGCAAGCGGAGTCAGATCAAGGTGGGAGGACGATGCCTGGATGGTGCCAGCCAGTACGTATGCACGTGAGCACGGTTTGCACTAGCAGACCCCTCCTTAGAGCAGGGTGACGGTACTGGTGGTGTTCATGCTCATGTGCTGCATGTGTCCATGTTAACCTGCATACCTGACCATGTACAGGCGTGCTCTGCATGCACAGGAACACATGCGCAGTCTCTCCCCTCCAGGAGCTTTCTTCATTCCTGCCTTTCTACTCTGCTGGTGCCCTCAACATAAGAAGGACATGGAAGGGTTGGAACAAGTCCAGAGGAGGGCCATGAGGATGATCAGGGCACTGGAGCACCTCCTGTATGAAGACAGGCTGAGAAAATTGGGGCTGCTCAGCCTAGAGAAGAGAAGGCTGCGTGGAGACCTCATAGCAGCCTTCCAGTATCTGAAGGGGGCCTATAGGGATGCTGGAGAGGGACTCTTCCTTAGGGACTGTAGTGATAGGACAAGGGGGAATGGCTTCAAACTTAAACAGGAGAAGTTTAGCTTGGATATAAGGAAGAAATTTTTTCCTGTTGGGGTGGTGAGGCACTGGAATGGGTTGCCCAAGGAAGTTGTGACTGCTCCATCCCTGGCAGTGTTCAAGGCCAGGTTGGACAGAGCATGGGGCAACATGTCTAGTGTGTGGTGTCCCTGCCCATGGCAGGGAGTTTGGAATTAGATGATTTTAAGGTCCTTTCCAACCCTAACCATCCTATGATTCTATGATTCTTGGAGGTATCAGAAAGACCCCATAAAGCACAGACACATGACACTGGGCTCAGAATACCTAAAAACGTACGCGTCAAACAGTTATATGTCACGTCACCCCTTGGAAACACTGTGCTCCCACGCTTCAGAACACTCTTTCGCATAGATTAACTCTCCTGGTTTATTTGTCCGGGAGTTCAAGTAAAACCAGATGTACTATATCCATAGCATCGACTGCAAAGTACTTTGTAGTTTGGCTCTTTTCTCTTTAGGGACATTTTAACGTCTATCAAAACCTACCACAGTTTCTGTTCAGAGTCCTAGAAACAACCAAACAAAACTGGTATAATAAAGGCATGCTGAATAGTGTTACCTTTCATGGAGTAACACTCAATTTTTAAAAAAATAGGTACTACCATCAGTTTTAATATTTCTGACACAGATAAAACTATGTTTTTTCTTTCACCATTGATTAATTTGCTGACTTACAATTTTGGCACATGAATGCACCCTCATTTCAGTGCTCTGCCATATGCATATGTCAATAATCACACATCTACTGCTGCGTTTCCAGTTAATCTAATGATAAATAGCTAGTGTTATACAGGTTTGGGTGCTTTTAATCCTTCCTTCTCAAAACACATTTGATTTTCTTACTTCACTTTAAACAGTAGTTTTGATTTTCAAAACTGCCTCTGGAACAGTTTCCAATTACTCAGGCAATCAACCTGCAGCAGCCTTCTGCAAATTGCTTTACTTCCAGACTGTGCTATTCACGCACAGTATTTTGGCAGTGGCAAGTCCTAGTATGAAGAGCTTTCAAGTACAAATCTGTCTTCCTTCTTAAGGTCAGCTCTGTTCTGGGTTGTGAAGCCCTGTCCTGTGAAGCCCATGTAAGGAATCTCTTATCAAGTGTATTGATTCTAGCATTGGTCCCAAGAGATCTTGCTGACCGTCAACTTTTCTGCTGTGTAAGGTATAGAGGTGTGATTCCTATTGGCTTCAAAGCAGTGCTAGAACGTAGTTCTGAAAGACCATCATAGGATTGTGAATATATAGTAAATAGGAAACCATGCTGAGTGGCCTGGATACTATATGCCATCCATAAACCAAAATTCTTTGCTTTACCACATTTGCATTTAAAGACAAAACCTGCATTTTTGTTAGTTCTCTGTTAAAATATATGGTGATAAATTTTTTAACTGAAGAGATATTTTCATTAATTTGCACATTCTACTAATTTTTGTGCAAGATAACATAGTTGTAGTTTGAAGTATTAATTAGTAGGGAAATAAATGATGGCTGTGAAAATTAAATAGAGCAGTTGGGGTTTTTATGCAAGAACCGTTGCAGCATCTGAACCTTTCTCAGCTGGTATTTTCTGAAACACTGTTACGTGATGACTGCCGATAAATATTTTGAACTGGTTCTGTCACCCTGAATGTGTTTAAACATTCTTCTAATTGCTCTTGGCAAACTACAAAGTGATGTATTTTTTTTTACTCAGTTAAGTGAATTTCTTCTCATTGGATCCATACTGCAGACACTCTCCCTATTTAATGAGTTAGGCTTTACAGTCAATAAGGTTTTGAGATTTGTTGGCCATTTCTGTTTCTAAATGATCTCCTCCACAATCCTCTGGACAGAACCAGAAGATTGTCTTACCTCAAGACAACCTCATGTGACAGGGAAAAACATGGGGTTATGCCTCTAGAATTTTAGATGCCTGTAAGCAAGCAGGGCAAAATTATTCAGTCAGTGGTCCCTGATTGCCTGAGGCTGCAGACAGTCCTCATTTTTTTTTCTGCTTGCAATTCTTCTTAATGAGTATTTTTATTGGCGTTTATTTTTAATGTCTTATTATGATGAATGAGCTGTTTTCTGAGTCTCAGTGTGTTTTATGAATATCAACAAACAGTTCAGTTCCCTAAACATCTGAAACACTTTTTAGTCAAATTGTAATTCTAGACCTTGAATATACTGGGCTACTAAACAAGGATCCACTTTTCCTTAAAAACTGAAACAGGAGGAAAAAAGCTCCCACTTGGGAAATCACACAACTGTCTAACCAGGGGTATGTGATCCCGTGGCTTTGAACTTGCAATAAATATGTCTGTTTCTGAGCTAGACAAAGCTACTGTACATGTTGTTAAAAAAAACCAAACCAAACCAAACCAAACCAAACCTGTTCTTTCCCATGAAAAAGCTAAAATTCAGGTGTTACACTGATCAATTTTTGAATAGTCTTCAAGGACCGGAAGAGAGGCTCATTTCACACTCAGCACTATCTTCTGACATGGTAGATCATTTTTGTTAAGTTTGTGATTTTTGTTAAGTTAGAAATTTCTATTTTTTGTTTGTTCTACCATGTCATGTCATTAAGGAAACTGATCTAGAAGCAGTAGCTTCTCCCATAGATTAATAAATTCTCCTCCATTTCTTAGCCTACAACTGCCTTTGCTCCTTTCCTACCACCCTTCCTTTTTGTTTGCTTTTTTTTTTGGCGTTGACGTTTTGAACAAAGAAAATACACACTTCATCCATTTGACTGTCAAAAGTAAGTACTAAAACAACCTTCCTGAGCTTTATTTCATTCGTCCCCGATTTCGGACACACAGCTTTCCCCACTCGTCTCTTTCCAGAAACCCAAACGCCTATGATGAGGACTGGGAATTCGGACCCCAGCTAAAGCGCTGGCCAAGGGCTCTGCCTGAGCTACCCGTACGGGAATCGCGGCTGGCGGGAGGACCGCACATGCCGCCGTTGCCCGGCAGTTCACCGCACGGCTCTGACACTGCCCCTACCCCGCAGCACAGCGCTGGTGTCCCCTCGGCGGCAGGCGCCAGCGGGACGCGGCGCTGGTGGCAGCCGCGAGGCGGCCCCTGGCCTCGGGTGCCTCGGGCAGGGGTAGGCGGCGGGCCGGGGCGGGGCTGGGCGAGGGCTGCCCGGGAGCTCCCGCTGCCCGTGAGGCCAGCAGGCTTCCTCTTCGTCCCACACTTCCTGCCAGCGCTGCCCTGCTGTGCCGAGGCGAGCCCTCCCGTCACTGCCCGCGGTGCCTCCGACCTCCGCTCTCTCTGGCAGCGGGCGCCGGGGATTGCGGGGGGCACGCCACCGGCCGCCGCCTTCCTGCTCGACGCGGCGGCTCGGGAAGTTGAGGTGAGCGGCCGCGGTCCCCGCCGTTGCCTGTTGGGCTGGGCTGGGGGCTGCTGCGGCCGGGCCTGCCTGGAGTCCCGTTCCCCGCACGGCGGCCTGTGCCGCGGCTGGGGCAGGCGGCCGGCGGGGACTGGCGGCGGGGCGTGAGGGACCCCGGGCCGCGGCCTGCCGCCCGTCCTTTGGCTGGCGCTGCCCGCCGGGCTGGGCTCGGCCGGGTCCAGCAGCGGCGGGTGGCGAGCGGCGGCGCCGGCGCGGGGTGTGCGAGGCGGCCGGCGAGATGCGGCCAGGGCGGGCCCCGTCCCGCGGGAGCTCGCCGCTCGCCGTAGGTGGATGGCAGGTTCGTCTGGGCTTCGCCTGCGAGCATACCTGGCACTAACGGCGCTTTATTGCAGTACTTTGTCGTTCTTTGTTCAGTCAGTCTTCCCTTTTTGGGTCTTTAACGTAGAGAGAGGCGTGTTTAGCCCTGAACAGTTCTGGTAGGTAGAAATGGAGGTAGACAGACCTCCACAGTGGAGGTAGAAACGATGATGTTAGAAATCAGAAAGGGCCGTAACAAGGTAGGGCGTGAGGTAATCTCCTCCAGGCTCAACGGTAGAGGTGGGACCAGATGGCCTTTCCGGGTGCCTTCCAACCAGGGCTGTGACCTGAAACTGTTCACCCCCTTCTACCTCTTTCTTCTGAGCCAGTTTTGCTTAAGCGGCTCCCTTCTTTTCCTCCCCAGTAGGCAGAGCTGTGGGGTTCTCACTCCCGCTGGGATGGCTGGTGGCTGTTAACAAGTTCGTGCCTCCAGAGCCGTTCCCATTTATGCTTGGCGAAGTGTTTCACCCACCTCCTCAGAAATTTTCGTTCAGCTGCTGGTTAGACAGCAAACACTGTGTTTGTTTAAGGCACCCTGGAGGCTAACCTCACTTTGCTTTGTTGGATTCCCTTGTCACCTTCCAGATGTAACTGGTCATGTTTGTAATTAACCTGGCCCCTGTGTTGACTCCTTTAAGATGACGCCTCATGTTACATCTTGATAGAACTTTGCTCATGAAGAGCTATTTGCAATCTTTATTTTTTACTTTTCTAGGGGGAGGTTTATGTGTTTTACAACGAAACCATACATGTAGTGTTACAGAGGTGGGAGGACAGGAGCATAGTGGTTTTCTCACCACATACTTAGATGTACTATACTCCATTTCCTAATGTTGGTGGGGTTTTTAAGATCAAGAGGGTGTCCTATTAATGGTGATCCTAACAAGATAGTTCATGTTCTATGGGAAAAATACTGGCAACAGAATATTTTCCTTAAAATAAATGGAACGCTTTGAAGAAATGATGAGATCATTCTGGTATATGAGCTGCTTGTGTGAGTTTGTTTTCATGCACAGTATTTTCAGGCAGTTATAGTATTGTCAACAATTACACCTAGACAGCATGTCCAGAAACTTCAGATATGGGTATTTTAGAAGATTTTCTCAAGTTAACTTTGGTCAACTAACTTCCTTAATCAGAATCAATACCTGCCTTAAATCTCTAGCATCTGGTTAGCTACACACCTCTTTGGGGATATCTCTTTAATCAGATAAAGATCAGGACATTGTGGGTGTTGGTTATAGTTTCTTGTAGTCATTTGAAAGATGAGATACTTCCTGAGCTGAAAAATAATTAATGGACGAGTGGTAACAGTCATCCTCCCCCTGAAAAGATAATGCTTCTTCAGTATCTTCATATTTTTCTGCTCTGTTACTTCTAGTTGAAAATGCATTAGAAAAGGAAGACCTTTTCTGAGCTGAGTGTCTAATGACGGTTATTCCTGAGAAGGGCGAGAGTGCAGCTGCTCAGTGTGTTGTGCTGCAAATGCTTCTCCCCTTCCTGTGAAAAGTAACTTGGTAATTTGAACAAATAGTGACTCAATGACATCCTGTGGCATCCGTGTTTGATTTTTTCTGGGGGTGGTTGCTGCTTTGAAGTGAGCCAGTCGTTCAAAGAACAGAAGTTTGAAAAGTGGCTGGAGCTGAGTGTTCCAGGAGGTTTTGTCGATTTGTTTGGTTTTGGTTTTGTGTTTTTTGGTTTGTTTGGTGGTTGGGTGTTTTTTTTTTTTTTAATTTGTTTGGATGTTTGAGCCTGCAGTTTGTGGATTCCTGTGCATGGTATTTAGAAAGTCTGTGGTCAGCACGCTTGAGTTCATTATACAAACTTCAAATCTCCATTGGAAGAGCATTTGTCTGACCTTTTCTGACTTGCTAACTCGAAAAAAAACATCCCTAGTGTTGCTGCAGAGGATGATGAGAAACCTACTGTGTTTTGTCTCTGACCCCTGTAAAGCAGTCAGGGCACCCTTGAAAGCCTGAAGGTTGCTGTGGGACTGTGAATGGTGATACTTTGGGTAACATCCAACTGTGAGTGAGACCCAACAACTGGATTTCTCTCTCAGGGATGATCACTACTGCATGTTAACCATATATAAAACTGAAAATAAAAGGTTTTGACTTATTTTTATAACCTCTCCATTTCAACCCACGCCCAAAATATCACCTTGTTTTGAAGACTGGGTGCACAAATATTTGCTCTATGTCTGATTCACTTTCCTAAGAATTACGTTTTTAAAAGCTTTGATTAATTATTATTTAAATAAAATCCAATTTCTGCTATCTTTTAGTCTGATTTAGTCATGTCTGGGTATAACTAGCTAACTGTTGTAAGGGGAAGAGGTTTTGATTAGCTTGCTTGGTAAAGCTAGTATACTTTTATTCAAACAGTCAGACATAAGAATTTTCATAGAAACATAGAATGGTTTGGATCGGAGGACACCTTACGGATCATCTAGTTCCAACCCTCTCTGCCATAGGACAGATGATTTCTTCCAGAGTCTTGTTGAGAAATTTGGGATGAATCTGCAAAAGGTGGGAATAGCCCTATAGTCTGTCTGCAGCAGTCCCTGGATTGGAGGAGATTTCCTCAGCCTGGACAGAGTGGTTGCCTGTTAGCAGGTCTGGTTGGATGGGGTTGTGGATCCTCTCAGTGCTGTCTGGTACCCCTCGGGTCCTTGTTGTTTTTTCAGTCCCTTTTGCCTCAGGTTATGGCCCTGCCTTTCCAAAGGGGGTTTACTAAGGCTCTGTCCATAATCCAAGCAGCAGACCTCCAAGGAAGATGTGCCTTCATTTTTCAGTGGCTGCTCCATCTGTACATGGCCTTCATGTGCTGCTCTGGCTTATGCAAGCTAGGTGGTGAAGGAGACAGTGGGTAGGCAGCTATGCAGGCAGGGGTTAAGGGACACCTTTTGCTTCCCACTCTGTCTACATGCTGCTTTGATGGAATTTTTATCTGTTCTGCTTATTCCTGCCTGGCAGGTGTTGTGCAGATACGCAGAGCTGGATCTTGCGAACAGAGGGACTTGGTTTTCCTTCTGGAAATCTGAAATGCAAAAATCGTTTTGCTCTGTCTTTGCCTTGAATGTCTTAGTCTTCAGACTTTGTCAGCGTGGTTGTTAGTTATCTGTAGTGGAAGATCACTGAATATTAGCTATCCTACTTCAGGTGAGTATAATAAAAGAAGGAATTGATCAGACAGACTGATAATGTATTAATATGGGAAATAAAAGTGTGCTGTGTGTTAATTTGCTTGAATATTTCAGAGGCTAAAATATCTCCCTCTTGATGAAGCATTAGTAAGTTGGCAAAACAGAAGAATGAAATCTGCTGTTCAAAATTCTGGAATTTTATGCTTTACCAAATGTAGAGCATTATGCACAAGATACAGCATCTCATTTTCACATCTGTAGTAAACATTCATGAATGATATATTCCTTCATGTTGAGTAAAATAATTTTCTTACCCATAAAATCATAAATGTATTTTATTTTCAACTCTGATAACTGTGCCAAACCAGATGTTTCCTGGAAAACAGCATGTACAAATAATTCCCATGTAAATGTGCTTACTGAGCTGATTTGCTTATCTGTCCTCCAAAATACATAGGATCATAGAACAGAATCATAGAATAGTTAGGGTTGGAAAGGACCTTAAGATCATCTAGTTCCAGCGCCCTTGCCATGAGCAGGGACGCCTCACACTAAGCCGTATCACCCAAGGCTCTCTCCAACCTGGATTTGAACACTGCCAGGGATGGAGCATTCACAACTTCCCTGGGCAACCCATTCCAGTGCCTCACCAACCTTACAGTAAAGTACTTCCTCCTAAATTCTGGTTCCTAAATTCTAACTCCCTAAATTCCTAACTTCCTAAATTCCTAATCTAACCTGAACTTCTCCTGTTTAAGTTTGATATTCCCCCTTGTGCTATGACTACAGGCCCTAATGAAGAGTCCCTCCCCAGCATCTTGATAGGCCCCCTTCAGATACTGGAGGGCTCTATGAGGTCTCCACCCAGCCTTCTCTTCTCCAGGCTGCTCCAGGATACATGTGTGTATATCCATGATACAAAGTTAAAAAGTTTTAATTTTTAAACTGATGAGAAAGGGAATATCAGTTTTGCAACTGAGGTAATGTTTTGGGTCTGCTCTATTTGGATAGAAGATCTTTCTTCGGGTTTCATCTCTTTCTTCTACATTTTGCCTTTCCTCCTGTTGAGTATAAAAATATATTCTCAATGAACATAAATTACTTAAGGACAAACAACACTGGATTTTCTAGAGAGAGCAATGTATCGCAGTCAAACATTCCATCAGGAAATCAATGCTTTCTTGCCTGCTTGTTTTTAATAGCTGAAAACAGTGGAAGAGTTCCTGAGACTGCGGGATTTGCGTACTCAGTAGGTATATCAGCATTCCTTTAACATGGTTTTGCACTTGTGCTTTAACCTACATGTTGAACTAATTGTTCTTCCTTTGAACAATATAGTTTGCTTTTAGCTCTGAAGATTGAGCTAAATAGCTACTCCCACACATTTACCAGTATTAAATTCCAGTGCAAGTTGTTACTGCTGATAATATAGATGACTTTCTCTATTTCTGACCACTAGGAGGAAAATGCCAATTATTTTATTCAAGTAACACTTGGAATGACTCACTATATCTTGCAGTGCTATGTTTAGTATCTTTCCATGTTTTCAAGTGTATCAGCTAATATTCTTACAGTGAAGAACAGGATACAAATGACTTCATGGCAGGTTCCAATACACATTATTTGAAATGTAGTATTTTATTCCAGTAAACGAAAGTAAATTAAGTATCTTGTTCTTAGCTCATGTGGCAGTGCTGATCTTCCCCATTTTCCCCTCTCATTTTTGCCACTCTGGAGATCTGTGATTCTTGGTTTTCAGTGGATCTGTGTAAAGTAAGGCAGGTCTGTACTTCTCAGGTGCTCCTCTTAGGATGGCAAAGCAGGAGAATAGTCTGTGCAATATGTACGTATTTCTGCAGTTCCTGGATTTGTATTGGAAATTTGTGCATATCTCTGTGTGTCTTAGTCTACTGCATCTTGATTTTTTTTTGTTAAACAACAAAAGTGCATGGTCCCTCCTCATGCCTTTGCTTTTTCTGTTGATCCTTACTTCAGCTGCACATGGCCCCATGGGTGTCCACTGGAGCTCTACTGCATGTGTCAGTTTGCTCAAGTAGCTGAGGTTTCCTTAAGCAAGAATCTCAAGTGTTGGACCTGTGCAGTCATGCACGCTTGTTTTGGTTTGCTTTGGGGTTTTCTGTGGGTTTGATGTTTGTGTTGTTTCATTGTTTGTTTGTTGGTTTTTTTTTTGTATATGTGTGTGTGTGCATGTACACAAAGAGGCAGCATTTTCAGGAATCCATGTTTTACTCTTAGGGTCCATATGTACCCCATTCCCAAATACAAACACATTCACAGACTTTTCAGAGGACACATAGATTTGAGATTTTCACCAGTCTGACAGTATTGTGTACTCCCTGCTGAGGAAAGAACATGGGTTATATTTTAAACTGAATGCAAAGGGGATTTTGTGGAGGGTGCATGTGCAGACCTAGGTACAGGTGAGCTGTTAAAAGACTAAAGTGCTGGCCATAAGTAGAATCAGAATTTCTGGTACCTGCTACTTCTGGCATCACCTTCTTCCCCTGTGATTACAGTCTATGTGCATGTGAAACCCTTTGAGAGTTGCTATGATGTATTAATTTTTAAGTATATGACAACCTCTGAATTGCATCTGTAGGGAAAAAGTCAGTTTATTTAAAAGAATGTACCTTGAGAGGCTGTATAAGATATTAGTAGTAAATGTACCCATTTCAGATTTAGTTAATGCCTTTTGACGTATCTGTCTATGCTTGCTATCTGATTCATCTTCTGTGCTCATCTTCATGGGCTTTTGTCTGCAGGAGTACAAAAAGAGGAAACATTGATCTCAGTGTACAAGAGAGCAATCTATTATGAACTGTGCCCAAGGTTCCCAGTGGAGTTTGAGGATTCATTGAGCTACCTGCTATTACTCTCATTACGAGCAGATTTTATCATGTCACAGGATGAACATAGCCTATTTCAAACAGAATTGTGACTGCCCTTTGCTCACACTTTTATATCAAGATGGGCTGTTTTGCAGAAGCAGCCCAAGTGTCATAGCAACCAGTAGTACCCTTGGTGCTGCTCATTCGTTAAAGCAAGGTTATTTGTTTTTTGTTAGGATCAGAGACAGCAGCTGAGGATCAAAACCAGCATCATTTAATGTAATTTACCATGGTATTCATGGAGTGAATGCTAATTATTTTTATTTATTTATTTATTTGTATTATCCTTAAAGTAATTTGGTTCAATCTAATTTATTTATTTATAAACCTGGAAGCACAAGTTAATATTGTCAGAGGGAGTAAGTTGAAATTGCCTGAGTTTTGGAAGCAAAGTGCAAATTGCTCCTGAAACAGTGAGACTAGGCTTATTTTCTGACTAAAAGAGATAACAAGGAATTTATCCTCTGTCTGTAGACCAGTGTTACCTGACCACGTCTGGGTGTAATATATGATAAAAGCATGACTGGTTTGTTCTGTTCATTGCAGATTTTCATTATATTGCTAGGAATATTCAAGGCTTCCCCCTCAAGTCCATGTGAAGCTTTATGTACAAGGTGATGGCACAAGATGGCCTTTCTTAGTCTTTCAGATGGAAGTATCTAGACAGTGTGCCTTCCTGCCTGGATGTAGTCCCTTCAGCAGAGAGCAGTTTTGTTACTGCAGTAAGTTTCATTGCATGTATAAAGTAGCTGTAGTGGAGGATGCAATCTAATGTGCATATTTTAATTTGCAGGTTTCCACACTGTTGCGGTTATTTGGGTTTGTGCTTTTCCTGAAATGGTAGGACTAGGAAACAGCTGCCGAGGGATGAAGTCTCCACCTCTGCTTGTGGCTGCGCTCGTGGCGTGCATCATTGTTTTGGGCTTCAATTACTGGGTTGCAAGTTCTCGCAGCGTGGATCTGCAGGTAACTTGCCTGTTACTCTGCATGTCGTTGTGTACTTGTGTGGTTAAAAATATAGTCCGGAAGAAGGATGCTTCTCCTACATGTGGTGGGCAAGGAGCTTCAGCGTGTTGTAGGAGTTCTCATAAATACTACAGCTGCTTATCAGTAGTGGGAGCTGGGGTGGTAAAAGGAATTCTGATTTTTAGGTGAGGGAAACCCAGAACTTGAAAGCCTGCATATGTGGTACTTGTTACTTATGCTCACGCAAAGCATTCAGCTATCTTTCTAACTCTCCATTCCTAGAATCATAGAATAGTTTGGTTTGGAAGGGACCTTCAAAGGCCATGTGGTCTAGCCCTCCTACAATGAGCATGGACATCTTCAACTAGATCCGGTTGCCCAGAACCATATCCAGCCTTGGCCTTGAATGTCTCTAGGGATGGCGTGTCCACCATCTCTCCGGGCAACTTTTGCCAGTGTTTTACCACCCTTGTTGTAAAGAATATTTTCCTCACGCCCAACCTGATTCTCCCCTCTTTTGGTTTAAACCCATCACCCCTTGTCCTGTCTTAACAGCCCCTGCTAAGAAGCCTTATAGGCCCCTTTTAAGCACTGAAAGGTCACAATAAGGTCTCCGTGGAGTCTTCTCCAGGCCCAGTTCTCCTCTGCTTGTTGCTGCTCTTCGACCAGTCAAGAAGAAGGGTGATCTTTTGCTAATAAATGAGTCCTTCTCATATGTGTCTCTGTGTAACAGCTATATGTCACTTGTTTGTGCGAGTTAGGTAGTGTTGTCTTCCTCCTGCTTTTTTCCTAGTCTTCCGGGAAAACATACTGATTTGAGAGATGAATTTTCCCTCTGAGTTAGTTTAAGACCATCGCTGAAAAGTGCAGTGATGTCAGAATTGTTTGGATTAAATTCTTTTATCTTTAACTGAAATTTTTATAGTCTCTGCAGAATATACTGTACTGTTAATTTATTTAAACTGGGGAGAGTATGTCTATGTGTGTGGCAGGAGCCCCTGGCCAACACAACACTTTGATGACATTAGAATTGTTAGTTCTGTGAAATTGATATTCTTTGTATTGGAGAAGAGTCTATTGAGAATAGTCACTTTTCATTGGAGAATAGTAATTTCTATTTGCTTGGGCAAATTTGCTCTTTCTCAGGGTCGGATCATGGATCTGGAAGGTAAAGTCCGCCGTGCGGCAGCAGAGAGGGGTGCCGTGGAACTCAAGAAGAATGAATTCCAAGGGGAGCTAGAGAAACAGCGGCAGCAGATTGACAAAATCCAGTCCTTGCACAGCTTTCAGATGGAAAATGCCAACAAGCTACACCAGGAAGAGAAGGTAGGGCCCAGAGGTGTTTATACCTGGTCACAGTTTTCTGTGAGACTGTGGTTTACCAATACACTCTCTGCAACAGAATAAGGTTGCTCAAATGTTCCAGCTGATGGGCATACGGTCTGTGTTGGTGTGGCAAAACATTTATGTGTCATTGTCTGCTATTGCATGTTGAATGAACATTATAGCTTTCATTGTATAACACATGAAATGTTAGAAGTTACAAGTAGCAACACTGGAATAAAAACTCTCCCCCAGTTCACATGTTGGTGAAACTCACCATCTGTTTTGGCGTCTTTTTACATTCCAATTCTCTCCTGCAAGGAGTAAAAGCACATTCACGAGTTAAACAGAACGAAGAAACAAGCAAAAGGTAAGGAGAGGGCAAACAGAACTAAGTATTTGCTTAATTTTTGCTTAATTTACAGTCTCTTTTACGAGGGAAATATGGTTTAAGTTTTGTTTTTATAAGCAGATTTTCCTTTAGTCAAAAGTGTTAGGAGTCAGCTAACTGGACATGCTGGCCAGAGTTCACAGCATAGGGTGGATGTTGAGAGGTGCTGACAGGTGCTCACCCAGGCATTTTAACGAAGCTTGGTGGATGAAATGTTTCTGCCAGTCTATGGTGTGCTACCTTTCTGCTTCAAACTACTGTGGTACTAGACAAATGTAGCTGACATCACATGATCCACCTTGTTGTTGTGGTGGTTTTGAGTCTATAGGACATGAAGGAGCTGTTGTCCATTAAACCTGGCATCTGTGCCAGGAAAAGAGTTGGAAAGTATTTTACAAAACCAAAACTGCTGTTGGATGTGTGGGTGGATGTGGTAGTCTGGGAAAGAGTCAAAGTGGTTTTTGGAAAAGGAGACGTTGCTTCTGAAGTCTCCTGGCGTTTCCTTCTGAAAGAGTCGGTGACAGGGATGAGGGAGATTAATGAATGCATTCACACCTGGAAATGCAAAGGGAAATACATAAATTGCTTGTAGAGAAATTATGCAGCCATGTTGGTGAGACTGTTATCACAGGGGTGAATGATAAGACAAAAGTTACAGAAAAAAGTTACAAGGCATCTTAAAAATAAACTGGATTAGTTGTTGTGCTGTGGGGAGGCCACTGGTGGAGTTTTGGATTGTGGGAAAGCCACGCAGAGAAGAGTGAGGAGGGTGACCAAAGCTGTGCAGAGTTTCTCTGCAGGAATCCACAGTGTAGATTCCAGGCTGGACCAGAGCCAGCTGAGTAGAGCTGTTGTGGACATATCTAGGATCATGAATTGTGCGGAAAGTGCTCATGGCTGGGAGAGGCAAGGAATGGTTGTTCTCCATCCACTGTTGGGCTTCAAATGCAGTCAGCAAGTTGTAGTTCAGACTGAGCAGAAATGCTCTTCATGCAATAGATAGTGAAGCTGCAAATGTGTGACATCCATAATTCCCAGTTGCAGTGGGTCTGTGTGGGTTAAAAAGTGACTGGTTAACCTTGGACAAACATCTGTGCCACTGCCCAATACAAAGGCATTCAAGTCTGGCTCCAGATGTTCCTCAGCCAGAAATAGCTGCTGTTTGGCAAATACTGTAGCTGCCTTGGTGTTTATTTGGCATCCAGGGTGCTGGGCAAGGTGGATTTTGGGGTCGATAGCTCTTACATTCTCTTAAGTGTTTTTTCCTCCATCATCCTAAAATGCAATTGTTCATTAATGGCGTAGTCTATGAAGCTTGCTGTTGAAACCGCAGAAGCTGATGCTATAGGAAGCATTAGGTGAACGGGGTACGGTGTACTCATTTCCTGTCTTCTGCTTTTTGCGACTGGAGAAGAGCATGTCTCAGGAGCCTCAAGTGACGAGTATGTGTGTGCCTGTGCACCACTTTGTGGCAAATTCAAACTTAGCTTTTGTTGCTCTTGTAACACATGAGCAAGTGTCCTGCACAGTAGTAGTTTGTTTTCCAGCACTGATTAAAGAGTAGGGAGAGTTGTTTTACTGGGAACCTGTGTATTTGTCAAAAGATGCCATTAGCCAAGTTGGCATGGATTCCCCCCCTTCTCATTTAGGAATGCTGGTGATATGAAGACAGGGAAGAGAGGGAAAACTTAGTTCTTTGTGCTAAGGATCCTGATCTGAAGAATTTGTCCAGGATCAGAAGTTATTCTACAGAGGGATGTAGGATGTAAGAAAAGACTATTTCTGAGTCCTTTTTTTGTGTATCTATATTGGTATGTAAGTGTGTGTTGTATGTTAATGTGTGCATACATATACACACATGAGCAGACATATCTTTTTTTTTTTTTGGCTTCATGGATTTCAGTGGAATCCAGGATTCCTGAGAGGCAAGTAATGAATTCATCATTTCTAGTTATTGGAAACTTGGTGGTTGAACTGAACTTTGTTTACTCCATGGGGATTAGTAGCAAATATTTACCTAGTCACAGAGAATGAATGCAAGTCCAAATCACAAGTCTCTCAACTTGCCTTAAAAATAATGCAAACTGTTTAACTAACTAGACAGATCTTTGAGTGATAAACGTGATTTTGTTTAGTTCTAGATGTTCTTAAAAATGAAAATGCTTTCAGCTGATGTGTAAGAGTGAATGGTCTGTCTTGAAAACCCATCTGTTTCAGGATAAAAATACAGTTCTGCTGATTATAGAAAAAATCTATATAGGAACAACCATTTTGAGTTAAATTTGCCTTCTTTTCCAGTAGAACTGTCTCTGTGCTACTTAAAGGATGAGGACATAGAAGGTAGGAGGAAATCAGAGCCTGAAATACCCCTTGGGCTCACCATTCCCTGAACCAGTGTAATCCTGGGAAGCTGCTGTTGTAATTATTATTCTCTTAGGTCTGAGTACGTATGAAACACTTCAGTCACCAGTTTGCTTTTAAAAAATCTGCTTGAATTTTTAAGGACTGATACAGGTTCAGCAAATGGCTTGTGGAAATCCATACAGAGATAGACTAAAGAGATCAAGAGAGCTTACATGAACTCTTAGTCACAACAGATAAGTAATGAGGAGTGCAAAGGGCTGTTTGTAATCCATAAGTGATTTTCTAAAGAGCAATATTCTGTATGTTTGTTATTCAGGACTCGTAGTTTCTGGGATATGCACAGCCGTGATAGTCATTTTGAAGAGTGTAATAGGAGAACAATATGTGTCGTCTCTCTTGTTTTTAACAGCTAGAGTATACTTTTGTAATTTTCTTTGGTTTTATGTAATTCTTCTCCAGCCCACATCTTGTTTCGCTGAGGAGAGGGGCCGAGCTTTGTGCATTATATGTGAAGCACGTCACTATCCTGTTGCTCAGTGTCTTTTAACACTGGCCACAGCTGCTCTCGGATCCCCTCCCTCTGGGAAGATTTAAATTCCCAGCACAGCTTCTGAAACAAAATACCTATCAGTATGCAGAGAGTTGGCTCCACTCAAAAGAGATGACAGTGGCAGGGAGGGAGAGAGAGAAGAAAGCCTGCTGTGAAAAGAAGAAGGTGCTTATGTGTGTTTTGTTTTTATTTTATAAACCAATGTTGCATCTTCTAGTTTTCAAAAAGCTTTAAGGAAAAGCAAGTGCTGCTTTGTCCCCTGCTCAACTTGCCATAGCATGATGTTACTAATTTAACAAGAGAGATCAGTCTGCTTATCGTAACTGCTACAGCACAGGTTTAGAACACTACCTCTGTTTAAAATACATTTTCTCATGGTAAATTAAAAAAAAATGGATGGCCTGGGTCTATCTGAACTGTAGGCATCCTAGGTGTGGAAATTCAGAGTATGTGTAGCTTAAGAGTTAACTACTGGCACGTTTCTACCCCTTTTATAGCAAAATGAATGGACAAAAAGGAAAGCAGAAGGTACATTATGTATACCTGTACAGATTTCTATCAAGATTCTCATGTAACAGGATTCTGTTCTATTTACACTGCTTATTATTTTGGTTTTAATGGAATATAACAATGACATGGAAGTCCTGTAGCTGTACAGGTCTTATTTTCTCCAATTGGCCTGCTGTTGCCCTGCACTTGTAAAAGTAATTTCTTACTCATATGTGTCAAATTCCTCTTTCTTCTGCTGAGAGTGTAAGAAATTGTCAACTTTACTGTTTTGATGGTTTCTGCAGTTTTAGAGAGCTGACTTGCCCCACATCATGGTGCATGGTCCCTCATCATGGAAAAAGAGAGTCTAGATTGCTTTTAGCAGAGGGTGTAATAGAGTCCAGATAGCGTCCCTAATCTTTGCCAGGATCACTCTTTACGAAGAGAGTCGGTTGGGGTTTTGGGAGGTTTGGTTGGTTTTATCGGTTAATTTCCCTCCTCCCCCTCCCCCCCCCCCCTTTGTTGAGGGTGAGAAAAAGTCTGTAATTTCTGAATGGAGTTCAGTGAGAAGTACTGTTAAATGAAAAATGTCTCCTCCATTTTGGGCTTGAAATTTGTTTTGGCCATGCTTCAATTGGCGTACCTTCACTGAAGTATACGTGAGTGTGCAGTACAAAGGCCAACCTAAAAGAGAAATATTTCCTTTGAGATCTTATTTATGAACTTTTTCCCCAGCTGCTAGTATGTAGTTAGCCATTAATCTTGTGTCCTAGAATGAAAAAGCTTTTTTGTGGTTGTTATAAATGGTTTCTTTATTTCAAAATGGTGAAGAAGAGTACAAAGAAAACAATTGATGATATGTGTTACTAGGCAAGTGTGTGTGTGGGGAGGTGTGCTTTCAAAAATAGAGAAGTGGGGTGGAAGTCTCCAGATACAATTAAGAAATGAACAACAGATAATCAAAGTGTGGCTTGTGCTACATGGCCAGAATGGTGGTGGAGAGCAGGAGCGTGCAAAGCAGAACAGCTCCTTTTTTTTTGCAGTAAGGACTTAGGTCAGTTTGAGTTAAATAGTTAATCATTAAATAGGTACCCTTTTTCTCCCTGATTAATTATAAATGCTTGTTTCTGCTGTTTTCTGGATGTATAGATCTTATCTCTCAGCTTGCTCTGTTCCTGCTTGGTTTTGTTCTTACCAGCTGATTTACTGTTCCTGTAGCTCATCTTTTTCTCTGTGTGACAGCTATATTTGTGAATGCATACCCCTTTTTCTTAGGTTTTAGTTCTGAAGCCAGTGTTTACTCTCATCAAGTTGTTTATCATTTTATTCCTTTTTCCTGTTGCAGTATCTTATGCTTTTATATACAGCATGTACAGTCATTGTTAGAAAACACAAACATGAACTCAATGTGCTTGGGTTAGCTGGTTTTTGAGGGCGGCAAATGCTGAAAGTTGCCATTATTGCAATAATGGCTCCAAGAAATGTTTTAAGGACACTACGGTGTAAGGCATTAATCAGATCAAATGGTATGTGTGTGTTCAAAACATACGCTTTGAAATGGTTTCTTCACAAGTAATTCTGCACCTACGTTTTGGGTTTTGTTTAAACAATAACTTTAAATTTTGTTTCTCAAGTAGAGTGTGACTTAAATAGACATGGTCTGTAAAGAGTAAGAAAAATGTATCTCTGGTGGTTGTCATTAAAAAAAATTTATAGCCAGCTGGAGCAAGATTTTTCCATCACTGTTGGTGGCAGTGTGGCTTTATTTTTGGTTTCTGGAGATCTGCTGCCTGCAGCATTGACTCCGGATTGGAAACTGAATTTTCCTCTGTGATGATCAGAAGGATTTCTCTGCAAGACTGGTTTGCAAATAAAATAAGCTGGCTCTGAGTTACAGAGTTGCTTTGTCACAGAAGGTAACATTTTGATACTGTGATAATAGTGCTGGATTCTCGCTTCTAGGGATCATAGGTGTTGTCTTGTGGGCGGAATGAAGTTTAAAATGCCAGTTTCTTCCTAGAACTGTGTTTTGGCATGTGTTTGCTAGTACTTCCCAGCAGGTTGCTTTTAGGTGTGCATAAAACCCAAAAGAAAATAATGTCTGCCAAATTCACAGGCATGAGGTGAAGATTAGTTGACTCTTGGATGGCAGGAGGAGTCATGGAAAGCCTGACATTATGGATACAATTGGATTGGAAACTGACAGTCAGAGCACTGCCCTGTAAATTATGAAGCAGTATTTCAGGTTTAACGGCTAACAAGATTTTTAAACATGACCTTTTTTCCCCAGACTCTTAGCCACAGACTCAGGGAGGTGGGTGTGGCATTGCCATGGGACAGTGTTATATGTAACTCGTACGGGCCGAAGCATGCTTTTTCCTTTTTCTTCCCATTGTAATATAAGGAACCTTTTTCATATGGCACATAATTTTATTCAGTTCAGCTAATTATAGTTATACTTGCCCTAATGTACAAAATGTTCAATACTTGTCAGTTTTACTACCAAATAAGTGGTCCCGGTATTTTGGAGTTTTGTATTAAGAGGGGAACAACCAACCAGCCAACCAAAACCAAGGCAGAACAAGCTGTAAGAACATAAAATTGCCACGTCACACTGGTTTTTCTGGTCCATTGACAGTTTGTGGAAATGGCTAATGCTGGAAACCCTGAAGGTGTGATAATCATGGAACAACTTGATTATGTTGCTCATGTATTAGCAAAACTTGTCATTTCCACTGAAACAGTAATTTCATTTCCCCAGTAAACCAGTGAAAACAAATAAGAATACTCTTTGTCCTAGGAGAAAGGAGAGGGAGAGGTATTAAACAACCCTAAGTATATGTTGTTACTCACGTTGTTATTACTGTTTTTTCCTTTTCAACAAAGCAGCAAAGCCTTTGCTCTTGAGGTTTCACAGTGGTATGCATGGACCAGCTGTATCTATAGAATGGCATGGGAATATTTTTTTCCTAGGGTTGAAAAAGGTTGCCTGTTCATCAGTACATGAATGACTGCCTCTGAACCGGGACTCTTTAAAGGGTCAGTAAAAGACAAATCTAGCCCTCTCCTATGTGCTGTCTCACTCAGATTGATTGAATGCTTAGCTTTTTCTAATCAACTGGCACTTATTACTGTAGTGTTTGTGAAAAAAAGGCACTGACAGCATTTCAGGGTGTTTCAGAGTGACTTGGGCAGGCAAAATGGATGCAGTTACTTCTTTGCATTAAAGTGGTGTGGACATATGTACACACATCAGTACCTGAGCAGAAGCTGGGGACTTGGTATACCCTGATCTGGGACCCCTGCAGAACACTGGGTTTTCCTGGGAGGGGGATAATGAGGAAACTGGCAGTGAAGTACAAGAAAGTGCTCCTAAGATTGAAATGGATTGTTTCTGAAGGGTCAGTGAATCTCATCTCTTTGTAGTCTTAAGCAGACTCTTGTACACCAGACTTTCTGAATGTTAAATATGAATCTGAATTATCCTGACCTCTGGCTCACAGGAATTATTTTCATTTAGGCTTGCCTTAATTCTGTCAATATTCAGGTGTTTTGGGGCATGTGTATGTATGGGTTGGTAGAAAAGGCTTGGTGAAAGACTGGTCCAAATGTTCATATGTTGACTGCAGCTTCAGAATGAGAGAACAAAGCGAGGGAATGAAAGGTCACTCCAGCACTTTGTCATCAAAGAGGGAGAGGAAAAGTAGTATAATGCAAGGGCTTCATGTTGCTTTTGTAGAGTTCTTTTATGCTGAATGATTAATGCTTTCATAGTTCATTCTTACATGCCTTAATGCAGGTGTATTGATTCCCTGGTGAGAAGGTTGTTGATGGCAAGCTGTGCTATCCTGTATTCTTCCTTCAAGGATAAATACAGTAAATCTGACTGTGAGATTAAGCAAGCGTGAGATTAAACCAGAATAAAGCAGCAAGCAATTTTAGGGCTGGACTCTTTAAATTCCTCCTGTTTTTAAAGTGGAGTGTTATCTCTCCCCTGCTCTTTACTGGGATATCTGGGTAAAAATGAGTGTTCATAATCTACTAAACCTTTAGAGCAGCTAGAAGGTTTTGTGTTTGGCTGTAACCCAGCACTGCAGAAATAAAAGATCTTGTTACAAGTGCTTTGGTTGATGTCGTTTATAATACTAATGGTAATGCAGGTCCTTTGCAATTAAAACAGTGGTTTCTGTTTCATTCCTTCCAGGCAGTGCTGATGAGTAACATCACAGTAAATGACCGATTGATCCAAAGCCTACGAGGTATATACATCATACCCCTTTACATCGTTTTCATATACGCTTTTTAGCCCCCTGTTTTTAAGACTTCTGTTTTATTTTTTTTTTCTTCTGAGAATCCTGCCTTTCTTCAAGTCATGGGGATGGTGCTGGAGCTGTGGTGACTTAGATCCTGCATCTGCATAGTTCCAGTTCAGTGAAGTGTCAGGGTAATCTACCTCAGTAGTAGAAAGATTTGTCCATGTAGTGCTTGTTGTAGGACTTCTGACCCATATGATATAGAATAATAGGGAATAAAACTAGCCTCTATGTGCATTGTTTATATATTTATTCTTCATGCTACTTTTTGCAGCGTATTCTTACATTCCTCCCTGAGGTGTTTGGGTCATGCATTTTAGCACGGGGGGAATTCACAGACTCCTATATTAAATAAGAAAAACTCGGTCTAATTAGTTTCTGTTCATGTTGGTGCTTCAAAATTATTGTTAGCAATTTATTCCTCAGGAAGTCCAGGGAATGATCCTAAGTTCGAGGAGCAGGTAAATGTGATGTGATGCCTTCTTCTTGTGTTCTCACACAGAGCTTTTTATCAGAAAGAAAACTGTAAATCATAGATTCCACTGTTTTTGAGAAACGTAACTGTAAATTGTGTATTATTCAGGGAAGCACTGGAAGCTTGTCTTTATTGTAAGCTAATAAACATGAATGCCATTTCATACTATGTTCTGATTAGTATTTCATAGACCTAAAGATTTCCTGGGCTGAAATCTATCAAAGCAAGTGTTTGTAAACAAATGACAGTATTTCTTATGAAGAAATGCATGTCAGAAATCTTTGTTGCACCATTTTTGTTACTGTGTTAGGCTGAAAGGCTCTTCTTACTCTATCTTGTACATCTGTGATTAATAAATTTAATAAGTATCTGTGCATTTGTACACAAAATGTAGTGAGCATTATGGATGGAGTTACTGTGCTTACTATTGGTCTGTTGTTTGATACTTCTGTTGTAGTATATGTAAATATATATGTTTGTATGTATTTTAATGTATATTTTAATTCTGTTTTGGTCAGAACACTTGAAAGAGTTACAGACAGAATATGGAAAGCTACAGCTGAATGTTTATTGGTTTCAGAAGAACCAGACTAACCTTCAGAGGAAGTTCTCATATGACCTGTAAGTATGTTCTTTATAAAAATGGCTTCTGGAGTTGTAGGTGACTTGTGATAGCACTGTTAGTAAACGTACATTTTTAATGATCAAGTAACATGACACATGTTGTAAAATTGCTCACAGTTGATCTTGGAGAAAAGCATTGACCTTGCAGTGCTTGGCATCTTGATATCCAGATGCTTCTCCCACATTTCTTGATGTTCCTTCCATTGCAGGAGAAAGGTAACAATATTCACATTTAAGAGTGGGGTGAGGAAATTGGAACACAAAGATGCTGAACTCTGAAGAAGTTTAAGAACTAAGGTATGGGGATACCTGATGAGAAGCTGTACCCCATTATGCTACCAGAAGTTTGGGAGAATTTCTGGTTCAGTTATGGTCAGGGCCATGTGTTCTGCATTTCAGTTCATAGCTAGTAATCTTTTTTGTTATAGATTTACCGTTGAATTATAAGGTGTGGGTAACTGAACAGAAATTCTTATCAGTTTTCTTATCAGTTCTTACCGGAAATACACTAGGAATTTCTCCTGTGTTCTTTCTGTCAATAACGTTCTTGTTCCCTCCACCTGTTTTCACATCCTATTATATCTTCCCTCTGGTGCACAGATACAAAAAAAAGCCCAGAATTTGCTGTTTGCATGTTCTCATAATTATTTTCCATCAAGAATATAATTTCTGTAGTGACAGGTATTTTTCCAGCAGCCATTGTGTAGCCAAATTTAGTAGGAATTGCAACTAAAAGTTTAACATGGCAGTCAAAGAATTTGAAATCTGCAGGCCAAACTTGAAATACCTTTTTTCTTTCCTTCCTTCTCCCTCTTCCTCCTGCTCCATATAAGAATTAAGGATTAATATTGGTGGTTTTGGGATACTTACAAGTTACCAATTATTAGATGGTTGTGTACTTCCCCACCACCTCAGGCATCGTTACTCATTTAGTAAAGATGACCCAGATGTATGGTCTTAGTGGAGTTTTGTTTGTTGTGTACCACAGTTAAGCACTATCTCTTTGCTGTTTAGTTAAATGGCAGGGCCAGGACTCCTCTACCTCTGTTCATAGTTCTTTGCTATTTAGAGTCTCTGTTTGCCAGCATCTTCCTTGTAAGGCTGAGATCAGCACGAATAAATGAATCTGTAGTCACATATACATGCTGTACAGTTGCTCTGTCCATGAGAGGTACATCCTTTGAAGCACTGGATTGATACTTGCAGGGAAGTGATACAAGGCAAATGTAGTCAATCTGGTTTGTGAAAACTTATGTCCATGTCTGGCAAAATGTTTTCAAGTATAGCTCTATTGAGGGAATCATTGGCAGAGTGTCCCTGCTTGTGGGAGTGTATGGTACAGAATCCCTCTTCATTTAGCAGAAGAAGGTTGGATTCTGAGCATACAGCTTTAGGGTCAGGGCTGGCTCAAAGTGGAAAGCTAACCAAGTTACAGTGATGAAGATGAGTTTGCTTGTGTCTGGGTAGATGTAGAGACAGGCGTGATAATTCAGCCATGTACTGGCTTGAACAGGGATTCTGCTAGCTGGTCTGCCTCCAGTCTGTTTCCAGTTGGTCATGAGGCAGGTGCACTGTTTCCTGCAGTCTCTTCATAGGAGTCCATAAAAGCAATTATCTCAGTCAAGGGATTGTGCTTTCTTCATTAGCTTTGCTGAAAAACTCCAAAGTGTTCATTTTCTGTTTCTGGATATTTTTGTAGCTATGCAATTGAGGGAAACGAACTTTGCACTCAAATTTTCATGGAATGATTTATAGCTTGGGCACCCTGCAGCATTCACAAAATTTTAGCAGGAACATATAATTAAATTTTAAAAATGTTGTTTGTTATGTACTTTTAGGGGGGATGCTGGAATATTAATATTTCACTGTTGTAGTAAGTTACATTACTATGCACTGTGTTCTGTTAGTTATAGAAGCAGACATCTGACTGTACTTGGTTACATACAGTCCTCTGCTGCCTCTAAATGCTTCATTAATACTGTCATTTTGATTGCTTACGAACAACCTTTTCCCTATGTGATTATGGGCCTAAAAAAGCAAGTAATAGACTCAAAATGTTACTTTTAAGTTGTCTTACTTCTTCCCCTCAGTATTAGGAGTAAACCAATATCTGTTTGTCTGTTTGTCTTCAGTAAAGCTTGGCAGGAGGGGGCATTAGACCTGCTTTTCTGTTATACCAGTATTTCTTCCTTTGATTTCAGGTTGTAGGGGTGCAGGTTTTGCAACTTAAGTATCATGTACACTTTGCCCAGTGGAAAAAGGAAGAAGTGGTATTGTGGTATATGGTGGTATAATCACTTTTTTTTTTATAGAGTTGGATATTGCACTGTAGAAGACAGTGATAAAATCGGTTGTGCGTGTGGAATGCGTAATAATACAATTTTTTAACTTGGAAGGCACAAAACTAGTTGTTTTTTTTCTCATACCTGAGTGTTGAAGTTTCATCTTAGCTTTTTGTTTGGTTGTTTCTAGGACTCTGAACAGAAACTGTGGTAGGTTTTGATAGACGTTAAAATGTCCCTAAAGAGAAAAGAGCCAAACTACAAAGTACTTTGCAGTCGATGCTATGGATATAGTACATCTGGTTTTACTTGAACTCCCGGACAACTAAACCAGGAGAGTTAATCTATGCGAAAGAGTGTTCTGAAGCGTGGGAGCACAGTGTTTCCAAGGGGTGACGTGACATATAACTGTTTGACGCGTACGTTTTTAGGTATTCTGAGCCCAGTGTCATGTGTCTGTGCTTTATGGGGTCTTTCTGATACCTCCAAGAATCATAGAATCATAGGATGGTTAGGGTTGGAAAGGACCTTAAAATCATCTAATTCCAACCTCCCTGCCATGGGCAGGGACACCACACACTAGACATGTTGCCCCATACTCTGTCCAACCTGGCCTTGAACACTGCCAGGGATGGAGCAGTCACAACTTCCTTGGGCAACCCATTCCAGTGCCTCACCACCCCAACAGGAAAAAATTTCTTCCTTATATCCAAGCTAAACTTCTCCTGTTTAAGTTTGAAGCCATTCCCCCTTGTCCTATCACTACAGTCCCTAAGGAAGAGTCCCTCTCCAGCATCCCTATAGGCCCCCTTCAGATACTGGAAGGCTGCTATGAGGTCTCCACGCAGCCTTCTCTTCTCTAGGCTGAGCAGCCCCAATTTTCTCAGCCTGTCTTCATACAGGAGGTGCTCCAGTCCCCTGATCATCCTCATGGCCCTCCTCTGGACTTGTTCCAACCCTTCCATGTCCTTCTTATGTTGAGGGCACCAGCAGAGTAGAAAGGCAGGAATGAAGAAAGCTCCTGGAGGGGAGAGACTGCGCATGTGTTCCTGTGCATGCAGAGCATGCCTGTACATGGTCAGGTATGCAGGTTAACATGGACACATGCAGCACATGAGCATGAACACCACCAGTACCGTCACCCTGCTCTAAGGAGGGGTCTGCTAGTGCAAACCGTGCTCACGTGCATACGTACTGGCTGGCACCATCCAGGCATCGTCCTCCCACCTTGATCTGACTCCGCTTGCTGCCCTCGTGCCTTCATACATTCGCACACACACTAAACAGGGAAGAATTAAAAAGGCATTTAATAAAAAGTGGCACAGCCTGTCCTGATCAGGTGCAGGGCAAGGCCAGCCAAGCACACCGACCAGCAATGTGTTTACGTGCAGTTCATGTTTATCGCCTTCTCTCTCTTTTTGCGTGTTTGTTCCTGTCAGAGATCCATCACTTCCGCTGCTTATGGTCCCATAATATGTCTTGTGTGATCCTGACATGTTCTGCCCTTGCACCCATTCTGTGTCCCCTACCCTGGGCAGGACATGCCTTGGTCCTGTTGACTCATCTTGGTGGGTTTCACACTGGCACAAGGGCTGAGGCTGACTGGAGTCAGCCCTGGGCCTGTGGGATGGTCTGGACAGGATGTCTGAGTCTGTATCTTAGGCTCCCCACTGCCCTTATGCCTCTGTGCTCTTTTGGGCTCTCGGAAGTGGGCCTCGGTTGGGCTGATGGTTGCTGTGATGGGCCTGAGAGCAGCTGGGCGGGGGTGGGGGCAGGGTATTGACTTATCTCCTTCGTGTGTGCACAGGTGAGCTGTTTATCACAGAAATTAACTCTAGAGAAGAAAACATGTTAAAGAGTCTGAATTTAAAGTGCTGGGTTTGCAATTTGAACTGCGTCATATTGGTAGGATGAATTAGAGAAACTAGTGCTGTTCTTGTGCTTCAGAAGTTGTTGTATGCATGGGTAGAGCATTCCAGTCTCCAGAAACCCCTTTTACAAGCCTTCACAGATAATAAATTTAAAAGGGTGAGGATTTGCCACAGATGTTAAATGAACTTTATTTTCATGTGTGTTGTGGGATGAAAAGGCATTTGTGAGAGGTTGCACTATCTCCAGCTTCAGGTTGTCTGTATACGGCAGCTTTCTCAAGCTTGCAGACTGAGGTGCAGGTATTCTGATGCTCTTTTATTTCCTAGAAATTAGTGAACGTGTGCTTAAGTCCAGCCTGTGTTGTTTTATTGTCTCTGATGTTCACTGACTTAGGAAGGACTACTTACTCTGGTGACTCCTTCATGTATTAGCATTATCAAAATAAGACTTTAGAGTAATGTCTAGTCAAAAAGAGGAGGCAATAAAGGTAATTAATTTGCCAGTTCATAGCGTGCCTATCTGCCAGTCTCCTTCCTTGTTGGATGTGAGCTACAGAACAGGTAGTTTGCTGTTAAAAAGCAGGGTGGAGAAGGATGAAAGTGCAGTAAGAATGACTTGCTGTTGTAGAGGGCGCATGGCCTGAGAATTCCTTTGGATTAGGCAGTAGCTTACTTGCAACGTGAGAAATGGAATATGCGCATCTGGACCAACTGCTGCCACAATAGAGGTACTAACACTGCCAGAACTAGCCTCAGAAGATACTCATCTCCGTTCTCTCTTAGGGAAGGGGAGGTAAAATTTGCAGTATATTGACCATACTGTTGCACAAGGGATGCCAAGAAAGGTTTTGCATGCAGAACGATGTATTTGCAGAGTCTGTAACTGATGGTATACATAGAACTCAAAGTTATCTCAGAGGGGAAAAAAATGAGAGAAAGGAAAAGAAGTTTAAAAAACCACAACAAACTCCTCTGCCACTGTTAGTGAAACAGCATGGTCTCCAGCCAAGCCTCTTCCTTGGGCATGCTTTCCAGAGCAGTGGGTGCTGACAGAAAAGGTTTTTCACCACGTTTTGTCCTAGCGTGATACACTTTTCATCCCCACTCAAACACACTATTGCTTGTTACTGTTCACAATGGGATCAAAAGCATACTTGGGGTCCTGTGAGGACTGGTTTCTCAGCCTTCTGCATGTCTGTTATGGTGTAATGCTTACCTGCTTTGTTATCCACTGGGTTTTGTTCTTCTGCTAATATAAACAGAAAGTTCCAAACAGGTTATGAAGAGAGTGGGGGAGAAGAGGTGATTTTTTTTTCCTAATGGCAGCCATTTACTCTGAAAAACCCAGCTTGACCTGGGGTTTGCACAGGCACAAAGGGGAAAACACTGCCCTGGCAGATTCAGGAAAAACCCTTCTGCAACAGCCTAGGGCTTACCTGGAGGTTATGGAGCTGTGGGGGGCAGGCAGACTGCAGAGCTGCAAACACAAGACCTCTGGTGTCACACAGGTTAAGGCACTAATGGCATTGTGTAACTACTGAAAGTATGTAAAAGATATAGGATACTTGTATCTTTAGGAAATGCTTTTGGAACTACTGGTTAACTCCGTTTCTGTAATGTATGCTCTGTTAAGTCTTCCAGCACTGCACTTCAGTGAAATACTGCGAAAGGGTGTTGTCTTTGCTAGCAGTGGCTTACATCAATGTTTTATTTCGGCCAGTACCTTGCTGTTTCCCCTTCCTAGCTAAACTCCAAATACTCATTTCTGTTGCCTAGAAATGCTTCAAGGATGAAAATTGATCCTGACTTGTTGAAATTGACAGGTTAGTGGAAGACAAGAAAATTCATGTAGCTTGTTGAGCTGGTCTAACAAAAGCAGTTTAAATAAATTTCTTTCAGTGGAAGGAACTTCACCATCTTCACAACATGTTTGTCCCTAGGACTTAGATTAACATCCCATTTCTTACTTCTGACTTCTCAAATATAAGCACAGCTAGTAGGACTAAAAAAAAGTAATAAAATAATAATAAAAAAGATCATTTTAGAAAAGAATATTTTGACATTTTAGAAGAGTGTGGATGACAGTTGACAGCTGCTTACCTTTTTGTTTTCTCCAGGTCACAATGCATCAACCAGATGAAAGAATTAAAAGAACAATGTGAAGAAAGGATAGATGAGCTTACAAAAAAGGTTACTGATGTTCCACAAATCAAAGAAAACAAAGACGTATCAGAAGATTTGAAAAAAAATAGCCAGGTATGGTTGGGTAATTTCTTAAAAATATTTTCGTTTGTAATTCCTGGGCAGTTTTCCACTATCTCCAGCTAACCTTAGCCAACCTCAGTAAGTTTTGCACTGATTTCCTTCACATTTGTTGGATATTTGGGATCGATGAGAAACGGAGTGATTGCAAGGACAGAACAGGCAAAAGGTTCTGCAGGAGACTTCAAATCTGTATCTCTGAGAGGGGCAGAATTTGAGAGGTGATGTTAGGAGTGGTGTGGAGCCTCTTAAAGAATATTTACGCTGCTGAGCTTTGGCTGACAGCTCCCTTTGACTTTGTAAAGGACTTAGTTGCTTTGTATGTTGCAGATGTGTGTTAAAGATGAGGATTAATTTTTAACACTTCAGAGTAGCAACGAGCTGTAAGATACTGTAGTCCAAAGGTCTTTGAGGTGCATTGGCTATAAATTTTCACAGGAATCGTAATGTCAGCCTTTTAGTGTGGGGACAAGGGGAAGATCAAATGTCTCAGGTATTTGCTTTTGGATATTCTGAGTCAAAGGACCATGTGACACGGGAAGGCTCATTAGGGTAGGGCAGGCTTGCCACATAGAGTGACTGCATGGCAGCTGACTCTTTCTTCCTGGAGTAGAGAGGTCAGGGGCAGTCCTGAGAAGGAAATTTCAGATCATGCCGTTGCCTTGGCATGTGAATTATTGATGTTTCTTCAGTGAAGGATAGGACTTGACTGGCTATAGAATCATAGAACACTTAGGGTTGGAAAGGACCTTAAGATCACCCGGTTCCAACCCCTCTGCCGTGGGCAGGGGCACCTTCTAGTAGGTGAGGTTCCTCAAACCCCCGTCCAGCCTGACCTTGAACACTGCCAGGGATGGGGCACCCACAACTGTTCTGAGCAGCCTGTGCCAGTGCCACACCACCCTCCTAATGTCTAATCTGAATCTCCCCTCTCTCAGTTTAAAGCCATTCCCCCTTGTCCCGTCACTACGTGCCCTCGTAAAAGTTCCTCTTCAATTTTCTTTTTGGCCCCCTTAGTACTGGAAGGCTGCCCTAGGTTCTTCTTGGAGCCTTGTCTTCTCCAGGCTGAACAAGGCCAACTCCCTCAGCCTGTCTCCTTAGGAGAGGTGCTCCAGCCCTCTGATCATCTTCATGGTCTCCTCTGGAGTCACTCAAGCAGGTCCATGCCCCTCTGTGTTGGGGTCCCCAGATCTGAACACAGCACTACAGGTGGAGTCTCACAAGAGCAGAGGAGAGGGGCAGGATCACCTCCTTCGACCTGCTGGTCACGCTTCTTTTGATACAGCCCTGGATACGGTTGGCTTTCTGGGCTGCGAGCGCACACTGAAGCTGGCTCACGTTGAGCTTCTCATCAACCAACAGCCCCAAGTCCTTCTCTGCAGGGCTGCTCTCGGTCCATTTTCTGCCCAACCTGTAGCTGTGCCTGGGATTGCCCCGATCCAGGCGTAGGACCTTGCACTTGGCCATGTTGAACTTCACGAGGTTGGCATTGGTCCACCTCCCTAACTCCTCTTGCTTTTCCCCATGCTATGCCCATTGCCTTAGAGGCATTTCAGTTGGGCCCCTGATGAAGCTGGCTTACTTACTGGCTGGAGTGACGGGTATTCCTTTGTACTGCTCTTCAGGTGCTCCTTTGCTGACCTGTGATCCCTCTCCAGGCTCTAGGCATCTCCTATTGGCACCAGAATCAGACTGGTAGGAGTGAGGTGAAGTGAGGTTCCCTTCCCCCAGCAACTTTAGTTGAAAGCCACTTCCAGCAGCCTGGCAAGCCTGTGACTGAAGACACTCTTCCCTTTCTCCAAAGGTGGACCCCATCAGCCCCCAGTAGAGCATGTTTCTCAAAGTGAGTTCCATGGTCGAAGTAGCCAAACCCCTGGTTGTGGCACCGGTAACCATTTGTTGATTCCCCGCATTGATACAGACAGCCCTGGACACATGCAGTGAAGCTCCTGGGTTTGAAGGCAGCTAATTTATTTCTATGCACCAAAGCAGCCCTTCCTTCAGCACTGTAAGGGCTAGTCACAAAGTTTACTTGTTTGCAGTGGGGCCTTCCCCCACACCTTGGTGGGCAACTCTTATTGCAATATACGGTGGGGGTTTGGTTGTATATACCCTTTTCTCTTGGCTAGGAAAAGGCTACTAGAAGAAAGCATTTGGTGGCTTGAGAAGTGGAAAGGGTAATGCAACAAGGATTGAAGCTGGGTTTTGCACATAGCTGGAAATGGGTGGGGGAAAATGGCTGCAGCATCTGTCCAGAGACCCCTAGGTGCTCAGGTAATGGTTCCAGTTTGTGTCCAGTCCTGTATGTAAAATGGTGGAAAACTGCTGAAGCTTGATCCTGGAAACCTACATTGTGTGAGAGCTGAAAGATGGATGAAGCATTAGAAACAGGAAATGCTACAGAAAAAAAAGGTGAAAGCTCTTGTCAATAATTTTCATCACGCATCAAATATGTAAATAAAGTAATAATAGTAATAGTGAATATATGGTATAAGTAAACAAAAAGCCAATTTTGAGGGGACTTAATGTCAAGGTGTAAAATGCTATTTCAAAAGGTGATGTGGGGAAGAGCACAGTAGATAGGTGGTCAACTTTTGTTGCTTGCAGCAGACTTCATTACAATTACTTGTACCAGATTTTGTTTGTTTTGTGGTTTAGTTTATTTTTTACCATTTCCAGTTTGGAGGGGAAATCATCCCTGAAGGAACCTGAGGAGTGTGGCTGAGAGTGTGTTCTCTGCAGGAGAACTTCAATCTCCTGCAACAAGACCCATAGCTGAAGGCAGTCTATTCAAAGCAGGCAGTGGTTTTAGGTGGGGCACGTTATTTGCTCTCCTTTTAATCTATAGATGGGATGGTCCCAGATGACATAACCACTAATATAGCAACAGCCTAATGGAATTCTGCCTGCTTGTCTTCCCTAGGATCTGTGACAGTGTTTCTTATGTCAAGATGTGCCTTTCTTAGTTGTTTGCCCAAGGACTGCAGTTTCTTGCTTGTACAAAAGCTACTTAATGTTAGTGCAAGGTGACTCTGATGAAATCTGTGTACTTTTTTAGCTATTGTTCTTAGCTGGAATAATTCCTGTTTGTAAGATGTATGTGCTTATGTAATGGAAAGGTTTAGTTAAAACAAAGAAAATGGGAGTCTTGGTTAATAAATACACAGCTTTTCTTACAGCTTTGCATTTAAAGAATGACGTACACTTCTCAGTTGAGGAATACAGAACATGTTCCAATTATTTTTTATTCAGTCGCTTCAACTTGAAAAATTTTCAGCATATATCCTTTTAAGTTACCATCATTAAAAATTACTGAGCTAGAAATTTAAGTTAAGGGCTTTTGCATGTATAATTAAGAGGTAGATTCTTGCTATTAAGTGCAGGCTCAGTATTTTTACAGAATTCGTGCCCTGCATAAAATGAAAAATGATCTGATGTTCAGTTTCTGATGATTTCTGCTATAGTGATTGATCTCAAGAGGTTGAACTATTTATAAAACAGAAGCATTTTTAAACACAACATTTTTGTTTTCATGATTGAAGGAAGGTGGAGTTCTTCTGAATATCCTTACTGCAGTAATCAGATACTCTGTGGTGATACTTGCTGCTCATGCTTTCATAAAAGTTAATGCTTATTTGTTGCTGACATTGGACTTCAAAGTGTTGACACAAGTTCTGCCTGGCTTTAAGCTTAAACATTTTCAAAACAGCCAAGTAATATCCTATAAATCGTCTGCAGCTTTGGTTTTCATAGCTATTTAACCATTTCTTTCCACAGACATATTTCTGAATGACTGTGTGAACAACCTGGTGTTTTATTAATCTATGTAGAAAAATGGGTAGCTACAGTCTTACCAACAACCGTAACAGAAAACTTCAACTGTATTACTTTCTCCCATAAAAGAACCATAAGGTTTCCTATTTATTTGTACAGTATCAGGTATAAAAAAGGTTCATGTCTCTAATGTCTGTGTGCTTGTTCTTTCTCAACATCTTTTTGGGTTTTTTTTAATCAAAACAAAATCCCAGGGGAAAAAAAAAAAAGGAAGCCTTAGAACACTTTCAGAACAAGTTGTTTGTCTGCACTGAAGCTGGTACAGTGCAGCACAGCTCCAGGCACATTTCGTGCTCAGTGTTGGTGTGACTGAATTGACATAGCTCTCAGCCAATTAAGTGCCAATATAAGTAAAACAGAATTTTAATTGCTATATTGGAGTATCTTCAAGGTGGTGTACATCTTAGCCCTTAATCTTTAAATAGGTCAGATGCTGAGAGCAATCTAGTACCAGTATTTAATACATTCTAAGTAAGCTCCATCACATTAAACGGATACTGTTGTCTAGCTGGTTAAGTTTTTCTTCTCTTAATCCTACATTCAACGTAGCTTAACTCCAGTTCTGTAAAGGCTTGCTTAACTGAAGTTTCATTATGCTGAAACTGAGTTTACCTGTTCCTGTAGATCACTAACAGTAGTTAATGCCATCTGGCTTTTTTGCTCTGCTGACCTTGACATGGTAGCAGGGCAACAGTGGAGAAATGTGTGCCGTTACCGTTCTGTGACCCTCGGAGTATAACAGGTAGTGTTCCTTGTGAAACACTAACCAAGAACAGTAACCTCATAATTATCTGCAATTAGATGAAAGAAGGTGCGTTAAATTCTCACCGTATGTTGTGCTGTTATATAGAAATATCCTTGCGTGTTAAAAATCATATGGTACTTCCATCACCAACAAAAACTTCAGTCCAAGTATATCTTCAGTCAAGTATTTGAGTGTGCTAGGATTTTTTTTTTTTTCTCCTGAATCCTTATCTAGCTTCCACTTCTCTTTCCAAATAGTTAGGAACAGCTATATAAACCAATGCTTATTTGTGCACATTCATGTTATAGGCCAGTATTCAACTGTCAACCTTGGAGCAAACTGAGTTCAAGCAGGCTGACTTGGAACACCAGAAACCCAATGAAGATGGACCTAAAGCAGTACCTACGGTAAAAAATACAGACCTGCTGGAGGCTAAAGGTGAGATGGAAATCACGATCTGGCAATCAGTTGGTTAAGAACATTTGTAATTTAATTGAACATTTAAAAAACATTTTTGTACACAAGATAAAAAAACACCACCAGTAGACTGAACTTTAAGCAATTTTCCAGCTGTGGAGAGGTATAATATTTGTTCAAGCATTTTTATTACTAACATTTCTATGGTTCAGTTTTGTTTAATTGACAAGTTGCATGTAAAGGAAAATACAGATATTTACAACTCTGAAGTCATCCTCATTTAATATGGAGAAATTGCTGTTGGAAGCAATGATTTTCACATTTAAAAGACTTGCTTTCTTAATAAGTTTGACACATCTAGCCTGCTACTCCTCCCTGTGGAATAGCTGAAAGTTAGGCTTTAAAAAAAACACACCTCCATGCTTCCCCTGGGTTGTCAATGAGCAAAATGCAAGTAAGGAAAATGATACACAGGAAATCAGGTTAGTTAACCTAATGTTGCTTGTGATACAAAACTTGCAGAAACTTATTAATTTGAATAGATGTATTCTCATGCGTTAGTCTCGCACAGTACTGTGTGTGATAGAAATTCAATTTATTATTTAATTATTCTTATATGCTATCTTAAATTAACAATCTGGGGAGCATGCAACTTTCATTTTAGACAACTAGCAACTGAAGACAACATCTATACATGGTTTCTTCAGGCAAGATTTTTTTTTTTTTCCTCGTTAAAAATACAGATACACAGGGAAAAAAAGTATGGTCATGCCTGCTAAAAGTAACATCCCTCCTGCACTTCCTCCATTAAAAATTAGAGCAGCCTTGATTTATTTGCAAATCTGCCCATGTGACTGCTTTGTCTTAAGCTACTTTTGAACACCAAATCGGTTTTACTGTTGGTAAGTAAATGCGACAGGAACCTCACACTTATATAGCACACTGCAATCTTTATTTAAAGTGTTTGTTTCACCTGCCCTGTTTATTAACTGCACATATAAAAAATTTAAGTAGGTAGAAGTATGAAACTGTTGACAACAAACAATGGCTCATCCTTTACCCGATGTGGTTGGAAGATTTCTTTCAGAGGAAGAACAAGAATGGACTGAGAAAGATGAAGCAGTATTTATTAAAGATTTTTAACTTGTGCCACCACTGAAAGGCATTAAATTTTTTAACTCAGAATCATTTTTATTGTTTATAGAAAGAATAAATGGCCTAGCTGACATCAGAAAACAGGAGCCTAAGGCAGAAGAGGAGAAGCTCTCTAGTCAAGTGGAAGACCTGCGGGATCCACTCAAAGCTGCTGCTGGTCATGAAGAGATGCTGCCTCAGTCAGAGAAGGAGCTGAATCCTGAAGATGAAAAACAAGCAGCTGGGCAAGATGTGTTACAGCTGGCTGCAGAGCAGGCTGCCAGTGAAGAAGCTGAGAGGGAGCAGCTCCTGAATTATGATGCTAAGCTGGACTTGCCCCCCATAAAGGCTGGTATGTAGCATGCCACATATTGTTAAGCAGTAAAGACATGAAAGTGTGGAATAGGGCACGATTTCTGCAGCAGTGGTGGCAGCTGGCCAGACTCAGTATAGGTTCCTCAAAGGTTAATATGAGATGTAAACGGTTAGCCTCCAGCAGTGTTCTACAGTCTGTGTATAAAGATGGAAGCTTCTGTTTGTACAACATGGAGCTAACCAGGATGCATTCTTCTGCATCACTATAGTAGCCTTCCTGTCTACCTCCATTAGCTGTACAAGGCATTTGGGGAAATCAGTCCCAAAACTGGTATTGAGGCTTCTTAAGAATGATGCATTTGAGAAGGATATTGACCATCCAAAGCATTGATGGAGAAGAGAGAGACTATGTAATAATGTTTTGCATATAGTCTTCTTATAGTGTTGTATAAATGCTAGCTATCCCTATTTCAAAATAAGCTAGCATGCATACAACTCTACCTAAGGCTTCAGGTATCTACAGTTTACTGTTGTGAGTTTGCAAACTGGAGATCAAATATTGCAAAGGTGCCAGTTTCTGGCATCTGCCATATATGACCCTGAACCATGTGTCTCTATAGCAGAGTACTGATGTTGTTCCTAAAGCTGACCAGGATCTGGACATCTCTCTGTCTTGAGGAACTTGGTCTCAGGTGGACTTAGTAGTCCAGAGTAATCACGAGGAAGACTTACAGCAGTCAGAGCAGGAACTGATGTCCACAAAAAATGCTGCTTGTGCTTTTCTAGTAAACACAATCATAGAATCACGAGTAACGACGTTAATGCTGTTGATAACTTGGCAGGGATAAATAACCTTATCTGCATTGTTAAAGCAGTATTTTTCCAACTGCTCTGAAAAGATGCTGGCCAGCGCAGGCTGTTCTGTCCCCGAAAGAGATGTGAATAGAAGTTATGTAAACTGCTTCCATTTTAACAGAAAAAGGTACCAGAAAGATTAGGTTAAAAAAAACCCCATCTGATAATTGGTGCAAGAAAAAGCTCTGCCATGTAGCCTGTGAAATGTCAGCATGAGCTAGGAAGACTAGCAGGGTGTTCTTCAGCCTTGATTATTAACAAAAATGCCACAGTTTACTGCATAGGTTCCCTGTAGACAAATGTATAAAAAGATTTCTGCTACATTCTCTGAACATCCTTTCTCTTCCAATAAAATCTTTTAAAAAGTTTGAGACCTTTAGGTCTCTAACTGTAAACATCTATTTGATATGGTTGTCTGAACATGGACAACTTAAGGCTAAAATTTTTTCAAGCCTGTTTCTAAGCCAGTTACTAATTAGAAGGCTTGGCTTAAGAACATTCAGAACCAGACTCCTGTCTCTCTTTCTAGGGTATGGGTTTTTTTCTGTCTGGTTAACTGAAAAATAAGGGTAGTAGTTTGAGTAGTTTGGCAATCAGAAATAATGTTTCCATTTACTTCTGAGTTCTTTATATAAATAATTCTTAAAATAGTCAATAAAAGTTACTTGAGATGAATTAAAGGCAGACTGAAGAAAATCTTCACTGTAAAAGCACTGTGTGTCAAGTTAGCACATCATTACTTTTTTTTTATGCCATAATCACATCTTTCTGCTTGGTGGATAAACTAAAGGCAGGCAGAAAACTGAGTCAAGTTTTAGTGGTGGTGGCAACACATTTCAAAGCAACACCACAGTCAAGTTCTCAGCATTGGCGTCAGGTTTTACTTTTACTTAGGCTGTCCCTTAATATATTCTGAAATTGTTTAATGCTTTTGCTTTCTGTCCACCTGAGTGCTGGCTGAGTCTTATTACACTTCCTAAATCCCAAAAGATTCTTTTTCCCTAGTTCTTTAGACAAGGTTTACAGGAAAAGCTGCTCTGAAATTTAACAGTTTAAAAGGAAAAATAATATAAAAACCTATTGTAAACAGCCATTCAGTCATCAGCAAAGCAAATTCTCTGGAAGTTTATTACAGTAACTAACTGTCTCTTGTGCAGGTGACTTCATGGTATAGCATGAACCTAATTAATTTTAATATTTTTCCAGACAAACAGGAACATGAAGCACTGAAACAAGATAGGGAAGTTGATTACAACTTACATGAGAATGAAGCTGAATCAGAAATGGACAAGCAAGCAGCACTTGCAGGGACTGAAAATGGTAAAAAAGAAAAAAAGTTTTAACCCAAGTACTACATGCTGAAAAGTTTGAGATAATATTTTGAACATTATCCTGTAGCAGATACAGGTAGCTATTTTGTATTTCTTCTTTGAACTTTCCCTCATGTGGACAGTGTGACCTACTTTCTGTCTAGCATCACTAAGTTACTGTTTAACATGCACTGGGAAGGGACTGTATCTGCACCTTTATTGTATGGTACTTAACAGTCCATTCAGAATTTCTCCTGCTGTGTTCTAGATTATTTTCCACATGAAGAACTATCACTTCTACCTCTCAAAGAGATTTATATACCATTTTTTTTTTTCCTAATTAGTTCAAAACCCTGAAGAAACGAGGAGCCACTTATCTGAGCATAGCGAAGAACGACAGAGGTTGTGAACACAGGAAGTTCAGGATGCAGCTTAAGTCACTTCTTCATATAAATGCAGCAAGGATGAGAGCAAATTGATCTGAGAATCTTTTCATTATGTTCTCAAGGCTTCAGTAAGAGCCTAAATGAAGTAGTGTTTTCTTGTGAAGTTTTAGTACTGTTTCAGTGGTAAAAAAAAAAAAAAATATCTTAAATCTCTGGAGGCTTGTTTAAAAGCAGCCTGACCTCTGCAATAACTCCTTCCTACTGATTATAGATTTGAAACCAGCTAGCAGTAAGCGTAGTAACTTTGAAGTCGGCTAACTTGTATAGCCATACTACAGAAACAGTATCTGTGCATTGGTGGTAGATGAGAGTCCTCTGCTGAGGACAGATCTTTCCCCTGAGCAGTGCAGTAGAGAAATTCCAGCCTAGTTTTCAAAGGAGGTTAAGAGCAGATAACTTGACATAACATGGGAAGGATGAAAAATGACCCAGGCTGCTGTTTACCACTGTTGTGCCTGTTCTGCCACATTTTATTGAAATGTGGGAAGACTTCAAAAGCATGATCGTAATCCTTGGATACTTTCCAGTACGATATATTTTCCTGGGCCTCTGAAGAGAAATTACTGGTTTACACTGTAAGCAGCTGAAGCGCCTACAAGAACCTGGTTGTGTTCTTAGCTTTTAGGTTAAGGAAAGAAAGACTTGGACAATAGTGTCCTCTCATTAAGAGAGGAGCCAGGGAGAAAGCCGGTTTAGGCCTCTGTTCACAAGATGTGTGCCACAGTATGGTTCAGTTACCACTAACTTGCACAAGTGTATAGAGAGTAAAAATTTCATCTCCTGAACTTTTCTTGACAGAAGCTATCTGAAATGATGTGCTACAACTACCCTTTACTCCAACCAGCTACTATCCTCTGCTAAAAAGCAAAAAGGCAAATGCTTGCCTTGTAGTACAGCAATCATCTCAGCTGTTCAGTGACTAATATTCTCTGCTGGACTTCTGACAAAGGTAAATTAGACAATGCATTTACGAGACACCTCAATGTTTCTCACAGGTGGAGCTGCAGTTCTGTGAAGTCTTATGTTATGTATAGTATATCTTATTGCTAATATTCTGTAGCCTTTGTCATTTCTGTAACTTGTTGAATGTAAACTGGAAACTAGTTTATTTGTGATAACCTAGAAATACCTTCTGGTACCTGCAGTGTGTAGCCAGCTTGTTGGAAGTTCTCAAGCCTGGCACCTGTATTTGGAGCAACCTTTGTGAATATGAACCAACTGCTGTCAAGGCAGCATGGGAGCTTCCTAACCATGAATTCAAAAACCCCACAACTGGCTCTTGGCTTTCCCTCTTCATTGTGTAACTGTTTCTGTGGGGTGTCATTCCTTAATGTATTAGTTTACAACTCCTGTACCTTACTTAAGCTGCCTAAATATGGACGTGGAAGGTTGGTTCATTTGTATATGAAGAATATGAGTTGTCACAGATGAAATGCAGAGCTCAAGTCAAATGGTGCCTATTAAGCCTAAATACATAAACAGTTCACTGATAGTCTTGCTACATGTAACTTGAATTCTTGTAAGAAGAGGATTAACTGCCATTACTGAATTCTTTGTTGCTCGTTTTTTCACTATTTAAGTCAGACTTCATGGTTCTAGGCTACTAGTGCCAGTGTAGCAGGGAAAACAAATCCTTGTAATCTGGAGAGAAAAGGAGGTATGTCTGCTACATACAATTTTAAATTAAAGGAGTTTTAGCTGAACGAAACAATAGATTCACTTGGAACTGTGATTTACATAATGTTTCCTATCACTAAAGATTTTAGTTGCCTAAGGCAGGGAAAGATCTTTGCTGTAATCGTCTTGGGGTTAAATAACACTAGTTGTTGCTGGGTTTTTTTTAAATTTCATTTTAGATAAGCATTTTAAAATAAAAAATAGTCTTTGCTGCTGTGTACTCACCTTATTCTGCACAGTTTATATACTTTTAATGTTCATGAAAATTAGAAAGGTGTAATTTTTTCCTTAGTTTTGTAAATTAAGTGGAACTTGGTTTCTCTTCTACTTTCTGCTTCCTTTGGAGAAATGCTAAAGGCTACCCCTGAGCTGCTGTCATGTAGATCAACATTTTTAAGACAGTTAAGACTGGTGATGTTTAAGACAGTTAAGACTGCCTTTACTGAAAGGCAGTAAAAGCCAGATGAATTCTCAATGCCTGCACTAGAGCCAGTTTGCCAACTTTACAGCCACATTTTCCACGATTTTGATTACTTTCATAGCAATACAGAAGTATGTTAATCATAAGCAAACATCTAAAATGGTATACGACCTCATTTGCAGAGAAATCAGGAAAAACATGTTCAGGGCAGTACTGCTGCTTATTTCAATTTCAAGCTGCCAGTTGCTGGCAGGCAAGCAGGTGTTCCACTTCTGAGTATCTTCAACGCTTTCCAGCTCTAGCTCAGCAGTGCTGCTGCTCAGATGATGGAGCTGAAATGGTATCACTCCACATTACAACTGTATGTTAGGAAAAAAGAACAAAGGTCTTGCACTGTCAAGGAGGAGTTAAAGCCCATCACTATGGAAAGAGTAATTTTGCACCAAAATGAAGCATTGCCCTGTCCAAAACAGTCAGACCAGGACTCCTTGTACTGCTCAGATAAGACTGGGTAGTTTGGTTTATCAAAGAGCAAGTCAGCTCTTTATTATGCCTTCATTATTTCACGCAGGAGAATGACCTGTTCCAGGAAGAAAAGGGTAGTTTTGGGGCTCTTCTTGTTTGGGATTTCTATCTATACCAACCATTACAGAAGGTAGTAGGATCCAGCAGCAGCATTGCAGTCAGAGCAAGAAAATGAAGGTCATGCAAGAGCTGACTGAGCAATGGAACTAATTAGTGATTCCTCTTTCGCAATGACAAAGTAACAGAAGGATAAAAAAATAAAAAAAATCACAGAGTAATAAAAATACAGTCCTCATGTCTTGTGTTCCTATGTTGCTAGTGACTATCACAGTGTTCAGCTATGCAGATTCATCAGTACCATTACAATTAAAGACAAAGGAACAAACTGCAACTAGGAGTGACTTACTCCATTTCTCACTGTCTTCAAGGACAACTTCTACATTTGAGACAATATACCTCCTACACAATTTACTCTAGTAAAACAAAAACTACTGAATTCAGCACACTACAAGCTAAATTATTAGGTTTTGTCTGCTCTTAATTTCTATAAAGTTTGTCCTTTTTAAAGGACTTTGCAAGAAAAGAACCCAGTCTTCCTACTTGCAAAGTGAGGCAATTTGATGCCATTTAGCAAAAATAATGGAACCTCACAATCTCTCTAAGTGGTTTGGTTCAAAGCAGAATTTCAGTAGCTCTGCTGTTCCTATTAGACATGAGGCTCTACTGCATTATTTTTACTCTGTCCCAAATGTTACTAAATTCCTAAACAACCACTTTGTCAGTGCTCATTAAAAAATTAAAAAGAATAAATCTGTAATAAAATCAATTAAAATAACATTCTTCAACAATGCATTTGATTAAAATCAGCTCCACCTATAAAACTTCATACAAACCACTTTAAACAGCAGTTATTATTCAGATAGATAACACAAAAGATGAGTATAGATATTCCATGTAAAGTACTTCTATCCTGGAGATCCCCCTCAGTCTGGATACGGTACTAGATATTTCATCTTGCAGATGTTAACTGATACACAGATTACGGTCAGATACCCTGCTCTCTGGTAGTAGGTATCCTACCCTCTTGTCTTTCAAACAAGCTTCACAACAGGAAAATATTTATGAGGGGAGAAGTCAAATTCTGGAGGAACCTAGAAATAAGATATTTAAAAACATCACACAGTAGTACTACTGAATTTAATGCTCTAAATGAGGGATACCCTGCAACTAGAAGAAAAAAAAATAAACCACAAAAAAATGGGAAAAAAATAATCCTGGCTCTTTAATGCCTGGAAAATATTCCAGCCCAGCTGTGGGTATGGCAATCACTCTCCAGCAGTAATGGGCACACAGCTGTAGATTGGTGGGTGTGCCTCTTCAGTATGCTCCTTCATTCTTCTATGCTTAGCCTTCTGCAGGAAGTCTGAAGGCCCTCTCTTCCCTCTGACCCACATGGCACCTGCTAATCCTGATAACCAGCACTCTCCCCACTGTGTTCACCACTCTCCCCACTGTGTTCTTCCCCGCTCTTGAGGAATGCCCATATTCACACATGTCCTCTCACATGCACTTCCCAATTTTTTTCCAAACGTTTAGAAATGAGAGTATTCCATATTTAAATAACTGCAAGAAACTATTTCCAAGGGAAAAATGGATTGTTACTTTCCCAGCTCTTTTAAGAGTCAGAGTAACTGTGGCCTGAATCTGTTCATTCAGCTGTAAGAGACCTGTGGTAGCATTGTGTGTAATACTAAATTTCACATTCAACTCAACTTTCTTACCTTGGAGTCCTTTTTGTGGCCTCCTGCCAGAAGCTTCATGACCACAATATTGGGTTTAGCAACTTTCAGGATTCTGTTGACCTAAACACAAGACAGCAATAAGTTTACAAGTGAAAGATGTGACCTCAGAAGTATTTCAGAGATAATATTCAAATGTTTACATACTTTACAACAGTCCTCTTACAGAATGAGTTAACAGAGATCAGAGGTGTTTTGGATTTGCTTTCAAGTATAAAAGCTGGATTAATGAAATTTAATAAAGGGAATGCTTATTTTAATACTCTATTTTTTAATTCAACAGATCATAGAAATGATTGCTCCCCATGCTATGGCAAGTTCTAAGGCACTCATCCAAATAAAGGTTTAGCCTTTAGGCACCGACTCCCAACACTATGACACAGTGAGCAGGGGAAACTCAAGTATCAGACTGGTGGCTTTTTGCCTGGAAGTGCTCTGGGCACACTCAAACTTATTTTAAGTACCCTGGTTAGCCTCAATCAGATGAGTTGTGTGTGAATGCAACTAGGATCCAGGGATGAGGCAGGGATTCCTACATTCTCAGGAGAACCTAATCCCATAACTGTTTTTTAACCCTCCGAGATGCAATAGAATGAACATCCTCTTTATTCCAAAATACAATCACAGACACCTAGTTTTTAAGCGATGGACAAAGAGGGAAATTCCTACCTATGTTTACAGCCCAGTGCTCCAGGAAACAAGTGCCAGACAAAATCTTCTTTTCAGCCTGATGACATTTAAACCTATTTTTCCCACCTCTCAGGAATACATCTGAATTACCAGATTCCAAGTAAGTGAGGGAGGCATATGTCACCTTCCTGATAAAACTGATGCACTTTTACAACAGGACCAGAAGGAAACATGCAAGATGGAACTAAGTTGCTATCTACTATTTAAGATACTTAGCAGGGAGAGGTTTTGGAACAGTGAGCACAACCTTGATTACATTATCTAATGTACCTGAAACAGACCATTGCATAAGACACCATCACTATCCTCTCTCTACTGCTTAATCAACGCACCCAGCTTTGCTCAGCATTTTGACAAAGTATATTTTGGATCCCAAGCAGATCCAGCTGAAAACAAATATTTATTCTACTATGAGCATAAATTGCAATATTTCAGTCTTACCTCATAGTCTGGATTAGGAATATTCTCAAGAATCATTTTAGCTTGCTGGAAGTGTTTGCTAGCTGCCATGTACAGATCCGATGACTGAGGAGGTGGGCTGTACTTATTTAAATCAGACATTTCCTAGCACGTTGCAGAAATATATGTATGTGTATTAAAATCAGTTGCCAACAAATTTAACATATATACTTAAGGATATTGAAGAGTTCAGTTAACTAAATAATATTTTAAGAATACTCAGTTGAAAACATTTAAAATGGCAAAAACCAAGCAGCAATACGGTACTTAATTATAGTACCACAAAATATAATAAACTTCCCATATTCTTTGTAAAACAATCTATCTCCTGAAGAACTTGTTAATTTGCTTTAATAGTGCCATGCATCAGGGTATGAAATTACAGGAAAAAAACAGGAGAAATAAAAAGTATATGATACTATTTACTCAGTTTATAGCAAGTAAGATAATACAACTGTTCAAATGAACGGTTAATTTTATACAATTTTGATACTTCCAACTTTTTTTTCTTTAGGGATAAAAAAACCCTCAGTGACCACAAGAAAGTCATGATTGTCTTAATTTCCCCAGTGTTTGTAGCACTAAATTAGGGAAAGTGACTGGCATATAAAATAGCACAATTTAATCAGACAGACCTGTAAAAACAAAAGTCTGGCCACCAGAAATCTTAAATTCAACAAGAAACACCCGAATTTCTGCACGTGAGGCAGAATAACCCCACAAATCAGTAGAGGCTAATAACCAGCTGGATGAGTAGCAGGGTTACTGTGAACACCAAACTGAACACAACCTAACAAGGTGTTCTAACTACAAGCCTCATATGGGACTATGAAGGAGGAGTATGACCAGCAGATCAAGGAAGGTTATTATTCTATACTCCATATTTGTGCTGTAACATCCAAAATACTGCATCCAGTGTTGGATCTGCTCAGGATAAGAAAGATGCTGAGATGCAGAGATGGCTGGGAGTCTAGAGCACATGACCCACAAGGAGAGGTCAATGGCCCAGAATGCTGATAGGTAATCTTAATAGCAGACCACTACTTGAAAGACAGTTACAGAGCTGTGAGAAGACAAATGCTTCTTGTTAACAGCAGGCAACAGAACATCGGGGGACAGGCCATAAATTGCAGCTTAGGTAATTCAGACTGGATATTTGGAAAACAGGCAAGTAATGTAGCCCTCAATCTGGTTATCCACAGACTAAATGGACAAGAAAAAGTAACTGGATCAGGTTAACCAAAGGGGTTGGAGAATCTCCATCCTTTGATTCTTTTCAGACTTGGCTAGACAAAGACACAGCTGATGTGATCTATAATGCTACTTCAAGG